AATCATCACCACGTAATCTTGAATTTTACCAACTTTTCCAAAATCCTAAACCCCTTTTGAACGCTTGAACGTTATCTCCACATAAATCTGCGACGAACGAGGACAATAATCCGCAGTACATATTTGACGTTCAATTCTTGTAAAAAGAGATCTTGTTTACTCACTTACTCACATGGCACCTGGTTATTTTGACATTGTGAACTCAAGCTTATGTATTTCTGACAGTTTAAAACTTTTATAATTAAATCATTTTTTAACCTACGTAGCCTACGGATTTGGCTGATAGGCATACATACAAAGCCTCCAAGTACTGGGTATCGGATGACAACGCGTCGTAAATTAAATCTCACCTGTCAGCCTGTCACCTGTCCTGCCAATCTGAAAACACCAACCAACCACTAACATGCAATGCAACCCTACTAGCTTGGTAAAATAGGTGAACCAAACAGATACGTGGAAAAGATAGGCTTCTTCTTCTCTGAAGATTTAAATTTTTGGGTGTTTGAAGCAACCATCAGATCAGAGATCAAAAGGAATCTGTTTTAGTTTCAACAAATCCGTCAGATTCTGCGATATTCCTGTCTTGTGCATGGGCTTAACCGTTATGGAAAATGCTACTGTAATCTATGTAGATATGACTTGTTCTCCTTGTTGCTCGGCTGAGAGATTTATATTCTCCGTATACATAACAGAGGTGATGTTTTATAGTAATTTGGTTCACCAGTAAATGCAGTTTATGTACGTAAAGGGTTAATAATATACGTGAAACAGTTATTTTCAGAACGAGGAGTCATCCTGTTTTTGATGTTTTTTCATGAACAGAATCAACATTGTATTATCACGTCATATGATTCAAACCCATATTTTACACGTCCAAATAATATCAAAATCAAACAAAATTCTCCCTTTATTCCATAAGTTCAATCAAACAGGATCATGGAAATATTGCTCAACCACGAAAAGTCGCATCAAATAAAATATCTAAAAGGTTTCTTCCAACTGTGCAGAAATCCAAGAAATTTATTTTAAAATAAAAGCAGACGGATCATTCAAAATGACAATTGATTCACGAAAAATCCATCTTTTAAGGTATTATTCGAGCGAGATAACACTTAAATCGACGAGTTTTTTGGCCGACGGCAATCCTATTTGGGTTTATGGTTCGTGGTACCTATCTCCTCCTTGGGATCGTATTGCATCAATATTTTCATCTTTATTGTTCATCATCCCTCCTGAATTAACACGCCTCACAAATAATTTCATCTACTTATGAATGTATCAATGATGATTCCGTTTCCTTATGACGACGATCACCTATACAAATTGGATATGGTTTCCTAATTTGGATATTTTAAGGCAGATTTTATTCTTACTAAATGTCAGTAATAAAAGTAAAATTTATCGGTATAGAAAGTACGTTGGATGGGAGGAGAGGACACTATTTACCAAAACTGGACGATCCCTTGAGCCAAACGATACTAAATAAATCACGACATTTTTGACCCGTTGAGAAGACGATGAAATTGAAAAAAAACACATTTTGGTTGTGTAAAGGGATATTCGTTCAGGTCATCCATTACTTCTCCATTTCCGTTTAAATACCTTAGAGTTCAATCAGTGACCTCGGAAGTGTGTGGACAGAGGGACAATGTCCTAACGGTTATTCGATGTCCCCATCATCCGCCCATGCTATATAAACCCCTCCCTCCCTTATCCTACAATGTTAATGTCTCCACAGCTTCCGCGGCCACTGAACTCAATCCTACTAGAAAGTTTGAAACGAGACAAATATGATGTCAATGAGACTGAATGGCGTAATTTTACTGTCCCATATAAAAGTCGATGGAATCAAATGCCCCCATTAAAATTCCAAATGACTCGATAATAATGGGATTCGAAAGGTTACATCCAAGCAAAGAATAGATTCGTAAAAGTAAATGAGACCCCGACCCCAAAGTCTGTTCTGTAGTGTCGCAGTCGTTTTATTCTATCATTCAAGTTGAACGTGACGCTATGAACATACGGACCAGAAGCAGTAGAAAGGAGCAAGCAAGTTACGTAGTTCGGTAGTCATGAATAGTTGAGTAGTTTTAGATTTGGTGTTGTAGATCAGCCGAATAAACGAGACCCCTGAGGAAATTGGAATGACCCAAGCACACCTCCACCAAAATACCTACGCTCTTTCTCACTGCGCTAGATTGGATACATGTGCAACTCCGTGTGACTGTGACGAATGTAACAGTCCAGTTAATGATAATCTAATGCCGGGATGGGTGATACGAATGTGATTTCTTTTGATCGATCAATCTCACCCTTTCTCCAGTAGAATGACTATGTATATCTCTGCTTCTACATATACATACTGCGACATTCGGTGGCCGCGGAAGTTGTGGACATTAGCATTGAGGGATAAGGGTGGGAGGGGTTCAAGTAACAGGGGACACCGAATAACCGTGGGGACATTGTCCCCTGTCCCCACCCTTCCGCGGCCACTGCCTTCGACATTGGTGACTGCAGAATAAACGAGTTTATCTTTCTCCACCAATAAATACAATACACAATTCTCTTTCTCTCACACTTTCTCCCGCACCTGAAATTTTGCTAAGCACCAATCTCTCTCTTTCCTTGGTCTGAAGTGATACTGGGAATAATATTTATTAGTTTAGTTTCACCCACAAAGTACTCCACTTGACAATAAATTACCCCATTTTCATTTGTCCAACGTAACAAATGGTTCATCACTCTCTGATCAAGGGGAGGATTTACCACTGGATTTCCTCTTTTAGGCACAACTATGTCGAGATACATACCACTTGGTTGGATTTGGATTGCATGACAAGATCCCACTACTTTAATGCTTATGTATGTAGCACCACAACCAAAAGGAGTGAATGTGTATGTATATAAGCGTTGATCGCATTTTAATACAAAATATCCGCAGAGAAGCCATAATACGGGGACGATATACAATGGAATGGAATTCGGAATAGAATTTGGAATGAGGGCAAGCAGAAGAAGGAGGAGGAGAGGAAAGTGGTGAGGAAGGAAGTTGAAGTTGGTGAGTGTTGAATACTGCTGGACTTGACTGCAGTCCTACTACGACTGACTAGTTGGACTGCTCATCATCATGCCAGTAGGACTTGGTTGAGAAGCATCGCAAAATTGACAAATGTCTTTCTCTACTCATTCATCCTTTACTTTCACATTGAAAGTTGAAGGGAAGGAAGTTGATGTTGGTTCGTTGATCGTCATCACACTGAGTTCGACATTACCAATCTTCCGGTTCCTTTCCTTCCCGGTCCCGGGTTACCAAAACTAACCACAAAACCAACCCGGTACGTACGGACGTATGTACATACATAGTTGTAAACATAATGCAGAGTTGCGGAAAAAATCTACCTTTTACTGCATGTTTCACCAACTCCTCCTCCTCCTCCTTCTTCTTCTCGATCCCCACCACCAACAAAATAAGAGCAAACGTCTTGAATAAAACAGAATGGCAAACAATACGGCAAAAAAAACTAACGGTAGGAACAATACGGGAAAAAAACGCCTTGGATAAAATGAAATCAAGGAAAAAAGGGTGGGTTGTGAATCAATGACTGACCTACTCTTCCTAAATGCCATCATGTTATGTTATGTATCCAAAAACTATGAGTGAAACGCGATTATGTTCCAGAAAGTGCAAGACATGACACAACTAAACGACAGGATGTAGAGGGAAAGGTGAGGTGTCCATTAATAACTCCCGGGGGACGTTAATTCCAAAGTGTTGGGTTTAATACATACATAAATAAGCCTTCCGTCCCATCCACCTTTCCAATTTATTAATAGCGATCACAACACCCGACAAGGCAAACCTATAAAAATGGAATGCGTACCAACCCCATGGGAAAATTTGATTGGACGACGACTCCACCACATGAATATGATTGATCAATAAAATAATCTGGCCAATAATCTAGGTACTGATATTTTTTGCCATTCATTGTAGAGCGATGTTTTCTGTCCGGTCGAAATGCATCAAAAGAAGGCATTCATGCAGGAAATCAAATACAAAATGTCACATACACATACATTCAATACACTGGACTAGGTTGCATTGTAACAAGAATAGAAGATCGACGAACTGCTAATGTAATGCAGTGTGTGTGTAGGATAAAATAAAATAAATGGTGTATCCATCCATCCATTTTTATTGTGAAAGTCGTCATCGTTCTCGTCCTGTTCCTTTTGTTATCATCTTGTTTATCAAGACACAGCATTATCGAAATCCGCATCAAATGTAAAATACAAAAGGTTGAAATACTTTAAAAGGGAAAGAGAGAGAGATAGAATTTTCGGGGAACACATTTTGTAACTTTTGAACATCAGTGTGCAGCTACATAGAAAAGAGAAAAGGGAGGAAAAGTGTTGGCTGTTGTGACTTTCTCTCTCTTTCTCACTTTCTCCTCTCGAAATTGCATGGGAAACTCTGAAGAAGAGAAAGAATAGTCCGACTCCATCGTGAAATTGGCTTGCTTGTGGTTAAGTCTGCCGGAACTAAAGTAGAATGGGACCTTTGCGACTTTCTTCAAAGATTTATGACAGCCGTGGGGTTTGATCTGACCGTCAGCAGCTAAAGCTAGCATGCTGCAGGTTATATTATTCTTTGCATGTGCGAGTTTCAAATTAACCCGTTTTAGAGAGACGGGAGAAGATAGGTAAATTCGTGACGAAAAGATAACGAAAAATCTTCCAATTTAAAAACGGGATGAGTTATCTTATGTTTATGTGTTTGCGGTAGTGACCGGTAAATTACCGGCGGTAATTTTGCAAGCATTACAAAAAGGCAGGAAATGCGTGCAAAAAGCGATGTTTTTCATGTTAATATGATTATTATTAGTGTTGGAGGATTAATTATTATGAAGTAATTAATAAATTCTCATGCAGCAACATTACACACGTGACATGGACACAAAAAGCACAATTATTAAATATTAGTAAAAAAAATTGCTCACTTTAGTTAAAACCGGAAAAGGCCAAGTTTTTGTTTTCTTGAATGTCTCGAGTAATTTTTCCTCCTTGTCTTCAAATTGTGTTGTTATTCCTCCCCTGGGATAATGTCTTATCACTTTGTTTCCGTCTTTTGAAAAATGGTCCACACAGGATGCATCCGCTAAGATAACGAACCGGTCAATATCTTCCCTAAGTTGGATGACCACCACGTTTTTTTCTAGCAAAAGGCCTCTGGTAATTAAATAAATAATCTATTTATTAATTCAAATGTCTTTTTTCTTCAAGGTCACGAATAATTAGTTATCAACAAATATTAATAATGCACTTTATTATTACGATTATTATTTACTAAGCATACGTGAGTAGTGTCAACAAACAAGTCGTTAATTACAACACAACAAACACTGAGGACACGCGAGTTAATCGAATAATAACAATATTAGTCACACGTGCCATAAAAGTAGTAACCGACAAAAGTTAATAGCACCGCGAACCATGGATGATTAAACTGGATTAAAAAGTTAAATTGTTAATTTTAGTCAGGAAAAGTACAAAAAGCAAGAAGAAGAAGAATTCTGATTTTTGTAATTATTTTTGTTCTTCTCGGCGGGGCATGGAAAAAGGACGACGACGAGACGACGACGACGACGACCAACATTCACTTCGCCAGACTGCTCAAGGAATACTGAACTTGCTCGCTCACTTTTCGCCCATCTTATTACGTACGGGATCCTTTCCCCCACTCACTAAATACGAGGCTGGTGTGGTGTCGTGTCGGTTCTGCTTTCTCGGTGGCAATCAAACCCAGGCACGGGCACGATAAGAGCCAAAAAGAGGTAGTCTTCTTATATATCCTTGGTTGTTTGGTTGGTGCCATGCTTTTTGGAGTAACAGCATTGCAGCAGCACCGGGGGCAGAGAAAGTATCGCGTCGATGGTGAAGTGGCATGCTACGTGGGGAAGAAGGGTCATGTCAGGCGGTGTCGGCCCTTATCCTCTTATCAACACATGTGACCACGACACGACGCATTGCTGTTCCCCACGTAAAAATCGACTAGACTTGTTCTCTAATATTCCCCTTGGCCGTATCGGAGGGAAGAAACTCGTGGTTTATTTTTGAGAGAGAGAAAAAGAAGAAGAAAGTGCAAGTGAGAGAGAATTCTTTAGGCAGCCAGCTTTTTTATGGACAAATATAAATCCATCCGTGCGATCCTTGCTTCCTTCTCTTGGATGGATGGATGGATATACGGGAGAGGATGAGGTTAAGTTTAAGTGGGAGATTATACATGTGCGGTGTATATGACCTTCAAGGAAAAAAACAGATTGACTGACCGTCCGGATTAAACGGTCGGTTCACTAGTAACATCTTGCACTTATTGCTCCGCCATTATTTATATTTAAGGAATTAGCTGGTGGTTTGGTTAGCTTTGGGAGGCGGATGTATAGCAGGATTATGTTTATGAGGACAAGTCACCGAGAAAGAGAGAAAGTTAAACTCGGCCGGGTGGATTGGATTGGTGCAAATGTTGGATAGCTGCGGAAAGAGAAAGAAAGAACATAATGCAGAGATTTCTCCGTCCAATCCTAAACCAAACCTTTTGTAGCAAGTCATTCATGGTGGTAGTGGTGGTACAATGGGATAGCCCAAACCAGACCTGATACGTATGTACATATGTAGGCTTCGTTTGTAACTTTGGTGTGTGTAGAAAGCAGTCACGGCTTTTCTCCCTCTCTCTCCGTACTGATTTCTTTTTAACGCCGCATCGACTATTACGCTTTTACCCGCCCTACACTTACTCTATTTTACATGCATTCATAGTCCGGAGTCCAGAGTGGTCTGGTATGTATGTATGGTGAGCATGATACCGTTACTTACTTAATATGGCAGGCTGGCATGCATGTCACGAGAGAAAGTTCTTCCTCTTCTGCAGTGGTGGCTGGTAGTCTTATGGCAGTCAGTTCAGTCCCCCTCTACGCCAGCAAACACAATATATATGCAATCACGTCCAAGAAGAAACGTCCTGGTGTTCTTCTTGGCTGAAAGTGGGAGCAAGTTTAGTGGAAAAATTGGCTCTTGTCCCTCTTGATCTGGTCATTCGTCCAGAATTTACTTGGTACACTTTCTTGGCCACTTCAGGTTTGATCTGGCACCAATTTATTTCATTCATGTGCCAAGAGGAATCCGATGATTGGACACTTTCTCCTGCCGAAAAGTTGGAACCATTATCCAGTCGGGGGAGCAAGTCAGTCTTCCGGAGTACAATTTTAATACTGAATTAAGGACAGGATGTCACCCACCTACCACTTGTGCTTGCTTTTATTCGTGCATTTATATAATGCGAGATAGATGAAAGCCAAGCCACGCCAAAGGCATAAAAGGAGAGAATCTCACCACCAGAAGTGGAAGTGAAAACTCACTCACTTTGTTTAGTTGGGAATAATCAATTCAGAATTCATGAGAATGGTGCATGCAGTTGGCACTTACTTTCTCTCCCTGCCTTGCTACATGTGTATGCCTACATACCTAGCATGCATACATACTTGCATATCACACCCAGTGGCCGCGGAAGCGGGGGGGGCATGTGGGGACATTTATGGGAGGGAGGGGTTCATATAACGTGGGCAGATGATGGGGACATTGCCCCTCTGTCCCCACACTTCCGCGGCCCCTGAACCCACCCGCATTCCAACCATCCCGGTTTTACTCCCGACTTTCCCATACACTTTCTCTGCATATTTAGTTTTACGGGAGAGAAAGTATCACTTCTTTGCCGCCGAGAAATCCGAGATCTTTTTACATACTTCGGAACGCTCCAGACTTGGGCATGGATTCGTACCAGGGAGGAAATATCTTTCTCAAATGGATGACAAACGCTTCAAGTCATTAAATGTTCACCTCTGCCCGAACAATTTTCACCCCTGCTACCGTGCCAGCCAGCAGCGGAGAGAGAACATAATATCCTGCATTGCATTCTTCCGTGTGGAGAAAGTGTGTGGTGTCGGAGAGGGAATTCGTCCAACCGAAAGTCGCCGGTGGTGAAAGTATTGATTTTGATGCAGCAGAGTTGGAGAAAGTACATCTAACCAGACATCCCTGAGCATCCCTCTGGGGCGGAAACCCTCCGCAGAACCGAACCCTCTTCGTCTTTATCATCTTTTATATCATCTCTTCTTCTTGCCTTTTGTGTGTATTGTTGTTGTTGTTCTTCTTCTTATTGCAAGATAACTACTTATCGTCACCAGTTTTATGTTCATTCATCTCCAACATAATTATTTCACACTGGCCGTATTTCTTTCGCAGCAGGTAAATCAAAATCATGCAAATTAATTATTCCAGGAAGTGATTGACCTAAAAATGAGACAAACTTTAATAAGAGTAAATTTGCATAAATGAAGTTAGTTAAACGGGGCACTTTCTGACACTTGCAACCCGCTTGGATTCACTTTAAAGTTTTTTGTACACATCAAATTACTCAAGTTTTGCATGCAACACACTGACTCATCAAAGATTACAGTCAAGATTAGTTTGTAATTAAGTAACTGAGGTGAAAAAGTTAATTATTTTGTGCTGTGTTAATCCTTCTAGTCAATCAACCCTTCACCTGTGATATTTTACTACTATCCAAATAACCCTCACGTATATCACAGCCCTTAAATTAGTTGGAAAAGATGAACGGAAGTAATGGAAGTAAACCACGGACATCCAGCCTGACCGGAAATCCTGAGGAGGATAACATTATTTTGCATTCCTTTGATTACATTCGATCACTGCCTGGGAAGGTTGGTCAGTTTCGAAATTATTAGAATTTGTTAACTATTGTGATTTTAATTAAGAAATGCGTGTAATTATTTCAGCAAGTACGCTCCAAGTTGTCAGTTGCCTTTAATTACTGGCTTAAGGTTGGTGGTTATCATTATTTATGTAAACATTTGGGTTAAAATTAGTTTAAAACTTGAACATTCCAACTTTGTAGGTGGAACCTGAAATTTTGGACAAGGTTTGTGATATTGTAAGTGTATTAACAATTTGGATTTAACAACATAAATTGAAGGACAAGATATTTCTGTATTTATTATATCTTGATTTATTGTTGCAGGTTGAGCTACTTCATAACGCCTCGTTGTTGTAAGTGAAGTTAATTCAAACTTGTGATAATTTGTGAGTTAGTTGAGTTATTCAAACTTGTTATAAAACCATTTTAGAATTGACGATATCGAAGACGGAAGTGAATTGCGAAGAGGACATCCTGCTGCGCATGCTATATTTGGAATTCCTCAAACAATCAATGCTGCGAATTACGTGTATTTCATCGCACTTGAGAGGAGTCTAGCTTTAAAGCATCCTAATGTAATTTCACGATTAAATATAATTATTAACGTGGGACTCAATGACTCATCATCACCAAAATCGTCAACATCAAAACGTCTCTAATAATTTCTCGGCTCTGGGAATTTATTTTAAAATTCTGGACGATAGATTTGTAGTTAGTAAGTTGTTTAATAGAATGACGGTGATGTTAAAAATTAAGGTCAGCCAGTTTCGATTAGTTTCGATTTTTCTGAAGACTTCTTGAGATTTCCTTCAAGAACTGTCAAAATCTGGAGTGTATTTTTTTTAGAAAATTTGCAACGACGTCCTCTACAAATTTGTGGTCCAGAATTTTTAACGAATAACTCAGAGCCGGGAAATGAGTAAAGATTGTCTGATTTTGACGATGAGTCACCGAGTTCTATGTTAACATATGGATTTGTAGTACATTTAATTTTAATAACCATCTTTTGTAGGCTGTTGCCGTATTCACGGAGCAACTCCTCGAATTACACCGAGGTCAAGGGATGGAAATGTATTGGAGGGATTCCTTTATATGTCCGAGCGAACAGCAATATACTGATACAATTGTAAAAAGTACGGGACCCACATTCATTATTTATAGGTCCGTAAACTAAAAGTAACTGTTGAAATTCTTAATTTGATACAGAAACTGGAGGTCTATTTATGCTGGCCATTAGATTACTCCAGGTATTATGAAGTTATTCTATTTATTTTATGATGATATGATATTTTAAAGCTCAAACCCGATATTTTTTCTTTCCAGTTATTCAGCAATGATCATCGAGATTTAAAAAAGCTGGTTTCTTTGCTGGGTTTATTCTTCCAAATACGAGATGATTATGCCAACTTGATGCTCGCAGAGGTATTTAAAGTTAAAAATATGTATATTTTATTGACACGCAATTGCCTACATTAATTACTGTGTATTTTTAGTATTGCGAGAATAAAAGTTTTTGCGAAGATTTGACCGAAGGTAAATTCAGTTTTCCGGTGATCCACGCTATGAATAAGCATCCTGAAGACACTCAAATAGCGTGTATTTTACGGCAACGCACAAAAAGCCACGATCTTAAGAAACATTTTGTACTCCTTCTTCAAAAATTCGGATCTTTGGACTACACTCAGGAAAAGCTAAAATCTCTTGCTCATGAGATTCGTGCAGAAATTGTTGCACTTGGTGGAAATCCTTATTTAGAGTCTTTGGTTGAAGAACTTGTCTGCAAAATTTTTCAAAAATGAAATTGGTTCAAACAGTGATGTAAAAATCTGGATATTACTGCCTCAAGCAGTTACTATTATTAATGTTATTATTATTGTTACGTATTTATAATTATTATGATGACGACAATTTGACATGACGAGAGTATTATCAAACGTATTAACTTGTGTATTGCTTGTTTATCTTGACGTACTTATATAAATGTAGGTCGGAGAATATTCAACAACATTATTATGGTGAAAACTGCATACATGTGAGATCGTTATAATCGAATCGAAAATTCTGAAAACCAGGCTTCCTAGTGCTTACAAAAATACCGTCTCTCAAATAAGCAATATTAAAATTAGTAGCGAAATATTGTGCGGGTGCTGTACTACTCTAAAAAGGGTTGATTGTATAAACTATAACTTGAATATTGACAACTTTATAGTTTTTATCATGCAACCTTAAGCGTGGTTTAATAAGAGAACTCAAAATTGTACTTGCTCACATTTCAAACAACTTTATGTGTGGAAGAGTTACATACTTTGTGAAAGAAAGAATGAATCAAGTTCGTGTTCTCAGGACTGTTAAATATAGAAACAAATTAAACTATTACTTATTGTTAGTTAGGTACTTAGGATTAAGGTGTATGGAATCTAGTTTTGCTACAAAGTAGAAAAATAGTGCGTGTTCGTTCATAGGTAGTAATAATACTTGCTTTAAATACTGTATAGCTAGTTATAGTCTTTTACTTAGAAATTCGCACAATTCATGATTGGTAGAGACCAGGTTAAACTTGACGAACGAATCTTTCTTTATGTACTGTATGTAAAAAAGTGTAAAACTGCATCTTGCAAAATATCTACTAAAATATCAGTGTAACCTTCATATCGATGACATTTGAGACCCACATGTTACAAAATTCGACAATAATCGAAACCTTATTGACTTTCCAAATGCTTGAATCAAATTGAGCAAATATAAAATCAGAGTGCCATGCATGATGTCTTATTTCTCCAGAATTAAAGAAACCGCAGTAAATACTGTACAATTTTACAACAAAGAAACATCAGTCGTATTCCATATTTATTATTCACTTCATCCACAACAACTTCATCTAAGCATTTCACTTCCTGGACAAAAAAAAAACAATCCATCAATCGTGAAAGAGAAATGCAAACAGCTTGAAAAATAGAATGTATGTACGACACTCAGAATCAGTCTTCTGTGTAATCAACATTATTTATTAAACTTCGACATCACATCGTTCCCAATTTTCGGCAGGTGTTTGACAGAATTGTTCAACACACCTGTTATTATTTTTGCAATTGTGATCAACGATTTATGCAATTTCCAAGCCATCAATTTTCCTGGAATTTTTCGTACAGTTTTGTTCGTATCATTCGCACGATAACAACAACGCCACTTCATGATGGTTGATTTGTCAGGGAACGAAACCCGTTATTTCCCATTCATCCGTAAAACAGAGAAATCTCTCAGTCATGCTATAAGTGATCCCGCATATATCGGTCCTCGGACATCAATAACATATTTAACCCCAGTAATTTCAAACATAATGGTAATTTTATGACTTGCGTATGCTTACATTTCCTACAACAACCTAAAACTTTCTTCCTTCTGGTACCTTCGTTTCTCCACTTTGGTTCATCAACTATTTTCCTTCTACTTCACTACCTTCAACACTCACGATGGAAGTTTCCCAGCGGATGCTCTCCGATTTTTAGCAAATTGGTGTCAATCGATCAGAAATTTAATTAGTAAAAGACACAATCTCGAAATGCGTACGTTTAGTGGAAATATTTGCATCCGAAGAGGAGAAAGCGCGCAGTAAAGTTGACAAATTTTCTGCATTTTCTTCTCTTCGGATGCAAATATCTCTGCCAAATGTGCCCATTGGGAGATCGTGTCTTTTACAAATTTAATACTAATTAAATTTGTGATTGATTGGCTAAAAATCTGAGAGCATACGCTGAGAGACCTCCATTGTCACTCACACCTTGTCTGAGTGAAACTAAATTCGTAGCGTCGTATTTACTTTGGTGATCCCACCGTTCACTCTTTCGATTGTTTTGTATTTGAGTTTTCTAACCAATTACCACTCCGGTTTATTTAGCATTAACACTTTCCTACGTAGTGTATGTACTCAGACTTGAGACGGTTTTATGGTTTATTAGATACACACAGAGAGAGAAAGCAAAGTGTAAAACGGTAACCAAACCACCGAAACCTTAGTACCGCACCACTTTATTTTGCATGAACGCCCAAAGTTGCCACATTCCTTCCTAGTATTTCAAACCAGTTGCAGAATCTTTCACTCACTCAGTCGGACGCAAAGTGATTTCCATCCAATTACTGTGTAGACAAAAATCAGCAAAGACTTTTTATCACGTACAGCTCAATGTACGTTCATCACCTTTTACGAAAATAGACAAATAAAGCAAGTCCAAAGTCTCACATTTTTTCATTATGCACTTGTAGCACTTCTCGATCGGCAAACTTTTCCTTTTCATGAATATCTACCGATCGAGTCGTTCCTTGAAAATATTGGTTCAGAAAAACAATTAAGAATACATAAGGTTGCAAACTAAATACGAGCAAATGTCACTTTCGCAATAACAACCGAATCAAAAATATGTCCTGTTTTCGTCAAAGTTACGTATGAATAGGTTTCCGAACAGATTGCGAGGAGTGGTTTGTGTGGTCTCATTGTACAAGAAGGCGTGCAGTGGAAACTAGTTGAATCCTAATTCGTGTAAACTTTTGGTGAAAGTGAGTGAAATCTGTGTTCACCTGTCAACCCGTTTTCCCGTCTTAACCACGGAAAGCAATCATCATTGTTATAACATAACACGATCTGCTGCGTAACGCGACAAATGTCAACTTCAGCCTGTGGTCCACTACGTTTTGAGACGGGTTCAATTTAATTTGATTTCTCAGTTGTGAAAGGGTTGCCGATGCGAAATTAGCAAAATGAGTGACAACGACTATTACTCCGATTCCAGTCCGGAGGCACAGGATAAAAAGTGGAATAGAGATATTACGAGTGTGTATGCGGAGGTTAATCGTCTCAGGGAAACGTTGGAGGAGAGAGACAAAGAGATTATCAGGTTGCAGAGGGAGACGCATAAGTTGAAGGTTATTTAAAAAGTAGTAATAATGGAGGTTTCGTAACGTATGGTCACAGATTTTGAGCAAACTTGTGTCAATCGAACACAAATTTGATTAGTAAGGATATTGCAAAAGTTATGATCTGCCAGAGACAGAGATATTTGACAGAGATATTTGTACCGAAAGAGGAGAAAACGCGCAGTAAATTTGGAAAATGCAAAATTTGTCAACTTTACGGCACGCTTTCTCCTCTTCTGATGGAAATATCTCTGCCAAAACCTGCGTATTATGAGATCGTGGCTTTTGCATATTTCATATTAATTAAATTTATGATCAATTGACCCCAGTTTGATCAAAATCTGACTGCATACATTGGGAGACCTCCTTGATAAGTCGGAAGCGATAGCATAATTAATAAATATTTGCATACAATGCAAATAAATATTTGCATATTATTTCAGTCTGTCATCGAAAAATCGGAATTGCGCCGAATTCCATCCCTTTCCTCTGGAAATTCTGGAACGGGTACTGTTGGATCTCTTGGAAGCGGTGGTGGTGGTGGAGGCGGCAACAGCGGGGGCGGAGGACACCAGAAAAAGTGTGGCGTTTCTGGAGAAAGCTGTTCCTGGAATGTGTCCCATTCTTCAGAGGACGAATCATCCGACGCCGCTTCGACGACCGCGATTTTAAGCGGAGGAGGAGGAGGACCAGCCAAGTCGGCCTCGACTCGAACCCTCGAAGAGCCTCAGCGACACCATAAGGATTTTAGAACACGGCAACTCATCCGGGCAGCATTGGGAGATAATGACTTTCTCCAAAATCTGGACCGAGAACAAATCCGGGATATGGTTGACTTCATGTGTCCGCAGACATTTTCCGTTGGCGAGTTTGTCATTCGCGTAGGGGAACATTATTTTAGTTTGGAAATTAAGATCTTAAGTAGTCTGTTGGATTAGACATGCTCTATATGTGAGAAAGGGGGAAGTTATGCGTCCGAATAAGAAAGACAAACAACATATTTTGAGTATCAAAGGAGGCTGAAATAACATACATATTTATTGACGAACAACGGTATTACAGGACCCCGTAACGCTTAATTTCGAATTATAAGTTTAGAGACTAAAATTTAACAAATTAGCGTTGCAACATTCTACCACACAAATTGGGGTTGTCCATTAATTATTGGAATACCATTTCCCTCTCTCCTCACTACAATTGTACATCCTGTTTTAAATTCGAAAAGGCGTCTAAATACAATATCGTAGTGGATAAGTTGTCCAGTCATGGGTCGAATTGGATGTCCTTTGAAGTCTTGCTTAAGTATTGTTTCCATCAACGTCGCCAAAATTCCCATAAATTCAGCGTGTTTGGCGCGGGTTGCAGTCTCCTCCGGGTACTCTTCTTCTTCCAAGATGTCCTGGGATATAACATAATAATCCCCTTTTTAGCGTCCCCTTGGGTGGGTGCCACAATTCAACTTGTAGTGATGGGGCTGGTGGTGGTGGAGCTACCAGTGGTGGGTGGAATATTGGCTAAAAATGCATAATTAACACTCATTAGACACTTGTCAAAATCATTCATCGTCATCAAATTATTGTAAATTCAATTTCCATTACCCATTAGTTTAACTCTATGCAGAGGTCCATCTCCATGTTGCATGTAGAGGTTAAAAGTGACGGGCGCTCCTGCCATGTGTGGGAGTGGCGTGGTAGGGACGTACTCCATGACGCGATCCCCATATGTCAAAATGAGTCGCGGTGGTGGTGGAGATGGAGATGGGGGTGCGTCAAAAGTATATTCCGCCTTCTCCTTGTCCGCAGAGTGGTGGGTGGAACGAGGGGAGAGTTGGTCGTCTTCGTCTTCCACTTGACCCGCAGAGTGGTGATCGGGGTCAGAGGTGGGCTCGTCATCCGAATTTGAGTGGTCGGTGTCATTGGAATGGGCCGAGTTGTCACCATCATCCGTGTGATCAGAGTGGGGATGGGCTTGTCCGAGTTCGGAATCCGAGTGGTCACCTTCATCCAAATGGGGGTGGTCGGTATCAGTCTGGTCAGAATCCGAGTCGTCATCTATTTCCGTGTAGCATACCTTCTTCCGTTTCCTCATACTTCCTAAAAAAACAAATAAATTTAAATGCATTAACAATAATAATTGACCTTGTTGTTGCGGGAGTAAAATCGATTAGGAGGGTGGATTGGAAACTCACGCCTTGTTTCCGTGTTGAGGTGGTCAGTATCAGGGGACAAATCCGAGTCGTAAACAAGGGGTTCCATTTGAGGGAAGTCGGTATCAAGGGGGAGAGTCCGAGTTGTTTTCCGCGAGGATCGTCTCTTGGGGGGCATCCTTGCGCCCTAAAAAGGACTGAAACAAGGAAATAAAGGATGGAAAGAGTGGAAGATTGGAAAAGTGTTGAGGAGAAACGAAGAAAACGTGTAACTTGCTGGCAGTGCAGACGAGTTGTGTGAGAGCTTCTTCATTTTAGTCCCTTCATGACAAAAGGACGCCAAACTTTCGTTATCAGTTGATAAGAAGCCGGTGAGGAGGAGGACGAAGGTAGCGTATCTGTGGTTAAATGGAGAGTTCACTTCCACAGCTCAGAGAGAGAGAGTGCTAATTTTAGCTCCATTTTTTCTTTCTCGAGGACAAGGGACGCCAAATTCTCGTTAGTAGATAGTAGATAAGAAAGGAGAGTTTGGAATGTGGCGATGGTTAATTTTTGGAAATATGTTCATGCCCATTTCGAGTATCAAAAAAAAACATTTTGTTATTCTCATTGACTGAATTTTATTTTGTAGCAACTTATTATTCCATAGGAGGGGGAAGTTGGTACGTAAATGATAAAAATCAAAAAATGTTTCTCATAGAATCTGTATGTTGGATAATTCATATTAATCCCTTTTTATTTGTAGGATCTCACTTGTACGTCTCGGCGGAGGGGACATTTTATGTTTCGCAGGACACTCGAACTTTGGGGACTTTGAAATCAGGAGTGGCATTCGGGGAACTGGCGTTGCTCTACAATTGTAAAAGAACGGCGTCGGTGAGAGGTACAGAAGAAAAATTAGTATTCTTCTATTAATATAAAGATACAGTAATTGGGAATAATTATTATCCAGCAATCACGGAATGCAAAGTATGGGCCCTGGAAAGAAGAGCGTTCCGAGTCGCAATGGTGAAAGCAGGAATGCAAAGGATTAAGGATCGTCTTGCATTTTTAAAATCGGTCCCCTTGCTGAAGGGCTTGGATGCTGGGTCACTTGGTCGAGTAGCAGATTGCTTAGAAGTGGTAAGTTAAATATGATAAGTATTGCACAGAGTTTAGTCGGTTGGACACATTTTCTGATCCGTCCGAACCGAATCCGAATATTTCGTAGAATTGAAAAAACCGAATTGTTCGTATTCTGTCACTTTTTCTGATCCATTAGAACCAAATCCTAAATTTCGGGTAAAAATACCCATCCGAATTTTTTGGCTGAAAACATATCCAAACCGAACCGTTCAGATTCGGTTCGGATCAACACTTCACCCGAAAGTCGGATAACCGATGCAGCTCTGCATTGTATTTTACTAGATAAGAAGGATATGATAAGTTGCATTATTTTCATCGCGCAGGAACGATATCCGCAAGGATCGTTTATAATTAGAGAAGGCGCAGCTGGCGATACCTTCTTCATAATCAGCGAGGGACGCGTCCAGGTGACCACTTCATCCGACATGTCGGACGAGACTGGAAATGACCCCGCAACCTTTTTTGGAAATCATCCCGCAAAGAATTCATCCTGGCTGCAAGAACCACAAATACAAATTCCCACCGTGAACGTGGAAAGCTATGAAAATTCGTCATCTCCATTTCAACGAAGCGAATTGTTACCACAGCCTCAGCCAGTCGCCAGTACCAATGGAAAGCAGACGGCGAGTGTGAGCCCTTGGCAAGTACTGCGAGAACTTGGACACGGTGACTATTTTGGAGAGCAAGCCCTGCTCCATGAAGAGCGACGCAGCGCAAACGTAATCGCCATCACGGACGTGGAAGTGTTAACATTGGATCGGGAATCGTTCATGCAATTGATTGGAGATTTGACCGAGTTTAATTTAAATCGGAGACCGTTACAGTCCTCGTCATGTTCCGAGTTGAATATGTTGGCTAATTCGGGTAATTGCATAAATTAAACTGCGTTTCATAAGTGATAAGATCGAAATTTCTGGCGGTACAATCGCGTCAGTGTTTCAGGTGAAAGTAACCACGTATAAGAAAGTGGTTTCTTGCAGTTATTTTGACCTGCTAGAAATGTAAGGCGCAAGAATCTACTTCCCGCCGCTATATCTCATACGGCACGTGGCCAGGAGGCGCATATTTCTTGCACTTTCTCCCAGTTTCTTGCATCTCGCATTTCTTGGGTTCTTGCTTTGCAGTGCAAGAAATGTACCAAACCCGCAAGAAACGAAATTATGAATCACTTGTCCATTTATTTAACATTGGAGTTTAGTTTATTTAGGCATATAGATTTGCATATCAGGTTTTCAAATAATTCATATTTTTTGTAAGACGAATTGTGATGTCTTCTTTGATTCGTTTAAAGAGTCGAACCGGACTTGGACGACGCATGACAGATTTGATGAGGTTGGCTGTTCCAAGAAGCAGCTATCATGCTCCTTGCCAAACCCGATCCTTGACAGAGAAAGGTGTCTGAAACATGATGACTATGATTTCTCCAAGTTGAGACTGGACGATTTAGAGTTCGTGGCAACACTGGGCGTCGGTGGATTTGGTCGTGTCGAACTAGTCCAGGTAGTCAGTCATGCACTATGCTTGATCATTTATTAATTATGCATGCAATCTCTTGAGCTGGTCAAGAAATCAAATAAATAAAGTCGATGACCGGAGCTTTGGAACTTCCACGTTTAATTTGTATTTTGTTCTGCACGCAGATCTCGTACGACCCTAATCGAGTCTTTGCATTGAAATGTTTGCCAAAAGCGCACATTTCCGCGACACAGCAGCAAGAGCATGTTTTCTCGGAGAGGAATATCATGCTATCTTGCAAATGCCCTTTTATTGGGAGGTACATACAATAATTATGGTGTGAAATACAATGATAACTTTATGTAACTTGACTGTTTTTTGGTGAAGAATGTATCGAACGTTCAAGGACACAAAGTACGTGTACATGTTGATGGAAGCTTGTCTCGGTGGTGAAGTGTGGTATGAAAACCATTTAAATTATGAAAAATATGAACATTGATATGTGTATAAGACGTAAAAATGTATATTTAAATGTAGGACTGTCCTCCGGGACAAGGGCTCTTTTGACGAAACTTCCACCCGATTCATTGCTGCTTGTGTTATCCTCGCTCTGGAATATTTGCATGAACGATCAGTAATTTACAGAGATTTGAAACCGGAGAACTTGATGCTGGCGAATGATGGCTACGTGAAATTGGTAACATTTTTAATAAAGGATTTATGAAGTAAATTTCTGAGATATGTAATTTATGCCTTAGGTTGACTTTGGATTCAGCAAGGTTGTATCCGCAACCTCAAAAACTTGGACTTTTTGCGGTAAAAAATATTAATCATTTTATGATGAGCTGACTTTATCACTAAATTTCATTAGGCACTCCTGAATATTGTGCTCCCGAAGTAATTTTGAACAAGGGTCACGATCACAGCGTGGATTTCTGGGCGTTTGGAATTCTTTTATTCGAACTGCTAACTGGCTGTCCTCCGTGGGGCCCGATGGCAGAAAATTGTTCTGGATCAGACCAAAATTCTGACCCGTTGGTAACCTACAACGCAATTTTGAAAGGGATCGAGTCTGTCCATTTCACAAAATCTGTAAGCAAAGGGGCAATCTCGCTGATTCGGAGGTTGTGTCGCCAAGTTCCTGGGGAGCGTCTGGGTGTCCGGAATTTTCGAGAGATTAATTCCCACCGCTGGTGGCAAGGGTTTGATTGGGAGGGAGTCCGACACCGAAGAATGAAACCTCCGATACGCCCAAACCTTCGAGCACCGGCAGATACGTCAAATTTCGACAAATTTGAATTGGAAATACAAGACGTACCCGACGATTTTTCCGGGTGGGATATGGAGTTCTGAATTTATATGTATTTATTTACTAACATGTTTACTCGTCAAATTGGCGAATTAACTAAATGCAGTGGCCGCAGAAACCGTGGGGACATTAACATTGTAGGATAGGGGAGAGAGGGGTTTATATATACCTGAGCAGATAAGTGGATCATCGAATATCCGTGAGGACATTATTGTCCCTTTGTCCCTCATTTCCGCAGCCACTGTATCTATACATATTTTGCGAAAATACTTAATTCTATGCTTGGCTAAATGAAATATGTCATTTCCGCGTATTTATTACGATTTAATTATAGTCCTTAGCTTTGAGTAGCGTTAAATTGCTTTTCTGCTCTATATTGCTTTATCCACATGTAATATTTACGTATTACGGTCTACTTGCCTACTTTAAAAGGATGGAATAAATGATGGCGTTCGATTTTCCAACTGTAATCAATACTTTCATGAAATGCTCACTTATTTTCCCGACTTTTGTACATATGTACACACGACAAAAATTGGTGTGGCGTGGCGTGGTAGGTTGATACGCAATACATGACTATCCATATCCGTTCTTTATTGGAAATTTATTTCACATTACTTTTTCAGGGTTAGGTATCAATCAATGGTCGTATAGTACATGAGAGGTGAAAATATTTTCATACATAAACATGTAGCGACACTAAAATTTTGGCAGCTTTTCAAAAATCCATTCTTATTTAAACCATCATTTCCTGTAAATAAATTTTATTTACATGATGTAAATTCGTGCTTAAACATGCACTGATATTATTTCAGTCATTCAGTGATACCATGAAAATTTCGACAGCTTTTTCAAAATACCCACTTTTCTTCTCATTGTAAAGTCCATCCAATAAATAAATTTTTATTTATATAATGTTCACTTTTGAGAAGGAAATGAACTCCTCATGATCAAAATAGTCCAAAAAGTAGGACTCTCACCCCTCCAACTCATTTCCTGAATGCACTTTAACGGAGAAAGTCGTCGGTCGTCTCAGGAAGAGTAAAGAATTACTGTGTCCCCAAGAATGAGTGAGCATATGCACTCAAACGTATGACATCCCTCACCCTAACCACATTTTGTCCATTTTCCTCCTCACCGTACACGGGTGAACTAAATAAAATCCAAAAAACACGCAACCCAATTTTCAAACACTCACTCGGGAGAAGCTTCCATAAGTCGTCGTCGTCGCTTACTCAGGTCCGCGTCCGACGTCCGACACTAAACATTTAGCTGGGTGTTGCATGGTGGGGAAAATTACTTACTACCAATATTGACGACTTCAGTCGGCAAGTGTCAGTCCATCGGTTTGGTGGGAGTGAGAGTGCAGTGGAGAAAGTGTTTGGACACAATTGTGTGTTTTTACAATGGAAAACTGACTGCCCACACAAAATTCACGTTCGGAGAAAGCTGCATTAACACTAAAATTCATTTTATTCTCAAATATGTACATCATGAAATTGGTAGCGCAAAGTATCCCAGAATAATATAGGATTTAAATTGATAAGTGAAATCGTCATCATCATCAACGTGAGTCATCGTGTTTGAGAAAAATAAGTGTCGTTTCCTAGAAAATGAGTGATATGCACACTCAAGTTTGATTGACTAAAACTTTCTCCAACCAAATACCAAGTTCCTACCTGTCTCACCAATCACGTATGAATTCCTCTTTGTCACCGTGTGTGATCCGAGTCAACATATATAATTCGGCTTTCGTGTGTGTGTCCATGTGCATGTCAGCGAATGAGACGACTTCCTCATAACTCATCAAGAAATTAGACAAAACAATTGGAATAAAAAGCCAGCAAGAGATACATACCTTACTGAACTGAACTGACCAATCAAGCCAGCTCGGACAATGACACTATTATAGTTGTACCTTCATATGGATACCGGTAGTTCAATCCACTTGACTCTGTACATACATATCGGTTCAATTGGTTCTAGGAAAAGAATAACCTTACTTGAACTAAACAAGCACCGAAATGCCGAAGTTGAATATACGGTTTGATAGACGCTGCTGGTTATGTATATGGAATGGAAAATCGAAGCTTGTCTGTCGGTGATAAACGATAAATAAAAGCCATCCTCGTCTCAAGTGGAGTGGACACAACAACACGACACAATTTTCGCAATGGGGGAGTGCTCGGAGAAAGTTCAACAGCAAGTTGTTGAATTATTTATGCGGATGTGATGATGTAAATGAGTCATTCGTCACTCACCTGGCCGTAATCCTGTTACAAAATATTTAAGTGTTTGCTGCCATATTTTTCTCGGAATTTTGTTGCCTGACTGGAAAAAATAGTTATGTAAATGAAAGAAGGACCGGTATTTTTCTGGGAATTTTTCTAACGTGGTGAAAGTACTGCATTTATGATGTTTTAACGACGGTGGATAACCATTTAGGAATCACAATTTGACTGAACAAGAGCTGCCGTTTGTATTATTTTTTTTAAATTAGTGTAAAAGAAATAAGATAAGTCAAAATGAGTTCCGTGTCGATGAGTCTGGTGTGGTTGTTGACGTTAACGGGCTTCTCTTGCGGGAATTTTCCCTTGTTAGACGTGGATACAAATATGAGAATCGTGCTGGTTCCTCAAGACACTCCGGTAAGTAGCTGACTGAACATTATGTCTCTTTCTTCTTCAGTTGATTGAGGACTATTCTCTTTGTCACGCGAAATAGCTCGAGTATGACAAATATATATCTATATCTTACGAAATATGAGTGCTCTATGTATTCCTCAAGTACTTATCATCTTGACGATTTTGTCAATGTCGCTTTTATCTGTCAACTCTTATTTCTCAGAAATTCGTTATCCGAAAGTGTGTAAAATTTGGTAATAACTTCCTACAGGATTGGTAGTAGTTTGTTTCTGAGTGGTAAATTTTTCATTATGACAACCTTAGTAAACGGTAATGCCCATTATTACCAGTACCGGTAGAGTCATGTGTGTATGTATGTACTCCGGTCAGTAATGATTTAATACCAGTTTTCTAAAAGTGAAAGTCGGACGTATACTTACTTACGTAATAAATAACTGAATTACAGGTTGGCACGATTATTTATCGTCTCCGTGCATCCGACTCGGACAACAACTTTCCCCTGTCGTTCGAAGTGCTGGGTGCCGTGGGAAAGTCGTTATTAAGTCTCAACTTTTTAGGCTGTGTGGAAAGTGAATCTTTGTGCCAAGCTGATGTCGTGCTCAAAAAGCCGTTGGACAAAATTAGAAATTACGAGTTCCAACTTCAAGTGAAAGACACTACTGGTGACTACACCAAGGTCCACGCCATGATTCAGGCTACCGCTGGGATGTCAAATTTTAATCCACTCTTCGGCCAGAGGATCCTTCATTTAGTCGAGGTGAGTCGAATCCATATGTAAAAAATGTGAATTAAATTTAGTAATTTGCTACCGGATTGGTAGTAGTTTGTTTCTGACTGGTAAATATATCATTACCACGATATTAATGCTCGTTATTGCCGTGCAGGCCAACAATTTTATGATTGTTATCAGCCGAGGTACTATATAATTCCACCGTTTCGGTAATAATTTATCACCAAAAGGTAACATATATACAGGGCTAAATCATGCCCTGCCCTCAATGTCAACGCTCTGGTAATAAAAATATTACCGACACCAGTTATAATTTCTTACCCTCAGAAGACAATTACCAGTGGTAATTTACCACGCGGTAAAATTGCACAGTTCTTCCGCCGGTAGCAATCGTATCGCAAAAATTATTAAAAGTGTAGAGTCATGCAGATGTATGGTCTTCGGCCAATTATGATTTAATACCGGTTGTCTAATCCTAAGAGAGTGTGTATCTAGGCTAGCAAAAAAAATGGTAAAATTAGGCCAAGTAACGTAATCACTTTTCAAAAAATTGCATCATGCAGCCTACTTTTAGACTTGACCTGTCTATGTATTCGATCATAATAATAATAACGAATAAATCCGTTATCTTGGTTTTCTACTTGCAATAAACGCGACGAATGGATGCATGCTTTAGTGCAGCAGGTGTGACAGGAAAGTCATCAATAAAATGTCAGGAGCTTTCATTCTTCTCAGAACCCTTTACAAATATTAGCTCCGACTCTGAGGTGGGAAGCAACCGGGATGAGAGAAATTAGAAAAGTGCATGCGTATCAATTTGGAAAACTGTTATTGTTCCCTGGTTGAGTGACAAGTACGCTGAAAAGCTGGGTTTTTTGTCATGTTTGCTTTGTGGGGGTACATACGTACGCTTGTTTATAATCTATGAAATAATGCTCTCCTCTCTGGGAATTCTCTACCATATTAATTCATATGTTCTCAAATTGGCGTCAGGTGTTAAGTTAGCAGTGCTTCGTGCAATTAACCACTTGCTAGAAATAACTGCAAGAAGTGGTTTCTTGCAGGTATTTTGACATGCAAAAAATCCAAGGCACAAGAAACTCGTTTCCGCACTTGGCTAGATGACGCATATTTCTTGCACTTTCTCCCAGTTTCTTGCACCTTGTATTTCTCGCGTTTCTTGCTTTGCAGTGCAAGAAATGTGGCAAACTCGCAAGAAACGAAGCACTGTATTCTAAGCTAAAATGTAAAATAATCCAGGCTACTGCATTTCACGGGGTACGCACTCTTACAAATTGGTCATGATCAATTTACTCGTATGTACGGTAGTTCTTCTACTGTATGTACATGTGTATGACATGGAGTTTGTATGGTCGATAATCTAATAATCTAATTTAAACCTGGACAAGTGAAGGCTACACACATTGCCATTGTCTGTTGAGACATTAAGCTATTTTTTAGTACCGAACCCTCCCAGAATAACCTTCCTCCCTTCTTCCATTCTTTCCCCTTGTTGTGACTCGAGTGCATTTGTAAAGTCCATAAAAATAGCCGATGCAGTAATGGACAGCGGGGGTGATGCATTATGCGATTGAATAAAAGCACACCATTCCGGGTGGGAGAAGTGAAAGCCAACTTATTCCCCGAAAAATATGTAGAACACGGTGACTACATATGTGAGTTTACTACTTGAAGGTGCCTGTTAATAGTAATTAAATATATGTACATACATAATTCTCAAAATGCCTCAACTTTCGTGGTACAAAGACAAACACAAATTTTCCCTAAATTGATAGGATAATTGATGTCCATACGACTATTTATTTACAAATGGACAACAAAATCAATGGGCCTCATCAGACACACGAAAAAATTGTCGCTTCGAATTTCGCTTTGTTTTTCGCTTGTCGATAGCATTGCCAAAATTATGAAAATTGCAAAATTTTGTTGCGACTTCAGCTAACCGACCTTAACCCCACTTCTGATAGGAGTTTCTGTTCGCTTATCCAAGAGCTCGCTTATCAGGAAGTAAGCGAAAAACGAAGCGAAATTCTAAGGGACGATATTTTCGTGTGTCTGAGGAGGCCCAATGACATTTATAAATGTCAAATCGCTGCTTTTGTTGTACGTCGTACTTATTTGCTCAATGCGTGCCAATCATTTTATTTGATCAGTCATGTTCTATTTTACTGACGCATTGTTTGTTTTTTTATGTGTAATGTCAGTGCATGCATATTTTTAAGCAAGCACAAAGTGTAAAAAACATTCGGCAACGCTTCAAAAGAAAGCCGGTTACTACGTCTTTATTAAGTGTTACACATTCCCTTAAAGTCAATGACTTTCTCCCTGATGAAAAATAGCCATTCTTTTGTTTTATGTAGTACCGTTCACCTCTGAAATTACAAATACGCCGTAAGCACACTTCTGCTACCTAGCACGTTTAAATTAGTGAAAGTACAAGTCCTGCAGGATATTGCTTTTCTTACCTCATTTAGGTCAAGCGAGTAGGCACGGCAAAAACGCCCTCCAATCCAATCCACCCTCACATATGTATAGGAAAAGGATATTTGTTTGCATTTTTGTCTGGCGTATGTATTCATATGCAGTTTTATGTGGCTGGATTTTAACCGTTTGGGAGTTTCTTAATGTAGAAACACTTCAACGTAGAAGGACTGGCTTACCACACGCAATTCTCACATTGATGTCATCGGTTTCTCCATTTTGTCCCCCTTCTTTCTCACCCTCGCCACTTTACTTTCTCCAGTTGTAGTAAATTTGTAAAATATTTTTTTCAAAAAATATGAACAAATTTTATTTATTGCGAGTGGATTTGAAACACATGCATTATTTATGTATAAAAAATGCATACAAATTAAATTTGTCGGTTTTTCATGATACATAATTCATTCATACATACGTTATCTCAGAATTGAAAATTGTGCCCACGCAAATTCGTAAATTCGTTTCCAATCAATGAATTTTATAATTATTGATCCGACTCTATCAATGTATTTTGAACCACCAAACTTTTCTGTGGTCAGACCATGGCTTTCATTTTGCATGTGCAGCCAAGTGAGAATGAGGTCATTGTGTTTTTGTCCACTTGAAGCGAAACGGAGCCAAACAATAATACTAAAAGGTATCCAGTCGATTCGATGCCTTTGTTTGTGGGCCAAAATGTTACGTTTTTGCATGCATGCAATGTTTATGACTCAAAAAGTTGACGTGCCCAGTTATATAGGTGGACAACCACGACTTGATAAATATTTGGGGTAGAAATCAATTCAATTATGGATCGGGTATAATAAGCTGCTGCCTGCGACATGCTTTATTAATTGGACCGTAATTAATGCGATGGAATAAATGGGGCGGCAGACAGACAGACAATTGGTGCTAATTTTGTATTCTCTCTTGCTATTATTTTAGGACTGCAAGGAGGGCACGGTTCTGGAGAGATTTGATGTTCTTAAGAACGAGCTAAATTCTCGGATTGTCCATTTGGAAATAAGGGTAAGTTTAACTTGAGAAAATCATAGGGAAGGGACGCCGGCATGCAATTACGCCATTTTTCTATGCTGCAAATTTTCCTTGGCGTTTGTTTTCCCCAAAAGAAAGAAACACAACCGATTCGTCATCCTCAATAATAATCCGCACTCCATCATAACAAAAAGAAGGCGAATAATAATAACCAGTGGCCGCGGAAACAGAGGGACAATGTCCCCACGGTTGTTCGATGTCCCCATCATCTGCCCATGTTATATAAGCCCCTCCCTCCCCTATCCTACAATGTTAATGTCCCCACGGCTTCCGCGGTCCCTGATAATAACAATGACTAAAAGTTGTACTTGGGTTTTTGAAATGTAGGACAAAGAAGAGAGAATTGGGTTGAAGCAAAGACTGGTCTCCAACAATCTGACGGAGGGGACGCTATTTCTTAAGAGAAAGTTGGACTATGAGACTCAACCTTGGTTTACATTCCAACTTTTAGCAATGGTGAGTTTAGCCCTGTAGTAGTGCGTATGTGGTAATGCATAATAATGAAAGTTTGCGACGTAGGAGGGTGGGCAGTTAACCTATTTATTAATGAGAATTGTGTGTATACAAAGACATTAATGGTCTCGCCCCACAATAATTTTCTAGAACGGATGGACCAATACAAGTACGGACACGAGGAACATATTAGTATCGGATGTCATTGTGAGTTTAAACTTTATTTGTATGCGTGTTATTTTCAGTGTTTTGGTTTGCTACATTTCTTGCGGTGAAAAGCAAGCAGTGCAAGAAATGGGGGGTGCAAGAAATTGAAAGAAAATGCAAAAAATTTGCGCCATCTTGCGAAATATGCATTTCTTGCAGGTCAAAATACATAGCTCGAAGAACCCACTTTGTTTCTATTATTTCTTGCAAGGCGTTACTTTCACCCGAAACACTGGGCATTATTTAAAAAATTTCTGCTATAAGAAAATCCTTATAAGAAGATAATACCCAGATAGGAGCTTTCTCTTTTTGGCTTATTACGAGATGTGCGTGCAGTTATCTTATCGTGGAAAATGAAAATTACTTCAATTCCAGTAGTCAAATTCCTTTCAATGCTATCAATATAACTGACCATAACTTGTGGGTACTGACAGGTGGCAGTCCACGATGTTCAGGATTCTCCACCCGTATTCACCCTACTTCCAGCGTCGGTCGAGCTTAATAGCTCCATAAAAATGGTAAGTTATTATATTTGGCTTGGTCTACATTTGCGGAAAGGGAATTATTTATTTATGGTGAGATACATTCATAAATTGACGGATGAATAGGGTGACCTGGTGGTTAGAGTGGAGGCGGAAGATGGTGATAAGCAAAACAAAAGACTGATTCGCTATGGTTTCCTGACTGACAACAACCCTTTCGTCGTCTTCTTCGATCTTGACCCCATGACCGGTAATACATTTTTTCTGGTTTTTATTGCACTTTTGTATTGTACATGTTTAGCAAGTAGGTAGCATATTTACAAATACTTTACTGGTTTATGGAGCTTGGCGAGAAAAATATTAATGTGGACGACCACACCTCTAATAGTTCAGCAAATGTGCTTTCACCTCCGCTTTCTATTCTCTATGTTAAGATTTAGATGGCATATAGCCCCCATATAGCCCCCATATGAACTTAACCCAATTTTCCCATTTTATTGACAAACCTCATTTATGTATAGTCGGCTATAAGGTGATTGATGAAGAGGGTAATCCATCAATAAGTTTCAAGGTAGATGATATTATAACGAACCAACCACAAACCCTGAGGCATGCCCGTTACACATATATTTTCAGTCAGTAAGTAGGGAACAAGTTTAATTGAAGGTAATTTGGAAAGTCGGACAATCTGATCGTCCCTTGTCACGACACGGGTACGGGTTTTGGGTGTAGAACATTAGGCGACGGTCTCGTATTTCCTTCATATTTAAATGAATATAGAATATTGGAGGAAAGACTGAAAGAACAAGAAATTTAGTTCACGCCGGAAGTCTCAACTTTCTCGATGAAGACGTACCCGTTGTAAAAAACAAATTATGAGCAAGGTCGTTTGATTACCTTCGCGATTGTTGTTGAGAAAGGTTGATACAGAGATTGGTTTGGTTTTTGGTGGTCTGGTCATAAACGCGTATTATTATCAAAACTGGGTGAAAACATGGTTTGTAATTACACTTGATCAAATGAATGAAAGGAGTAAAATGTGAAATTCTCAATCTTAAAATGTTTATTTCGGGGTCAAAACTTTACGATTTCTAAATAAAGCTAGAGTTTGCATGTTTGTTTTAGAAAATTTTACAAGGCCAAACTGTTACACGAACATGTACGTTATTACTTAATTTCAGGGGAAATTCGTTTAAGAAGGAATATTTCTGAACTGCTGGGAATTGCGAAACCGAATGAGCCCATTCGAATGACAATCATTGCTGAAGAAATTGTTCAGGAAAATGGAAGATTTGGTAAATCGCTGAATCCCACGTTGGAAAGGACAATGGGGAACATTACGTTTTGGTTTGGACGAGGAAATTCCTTGGGACCACCGGCTTTCTCTTCGGACAAGTAAATACTCAATAATTATTATGCTTTATTTGCACTATCAGCGTTTCGTTTCGCGGATTTGATACATAATTTGCACTGCAAAAGAAGAAACGCAAGAAATGCAAGGTGCAAGAAACCACAAGAAAATGCAAGAAATTTGCGCTATCAAAGCTGCGGGGCTTGCGCCTTCCATTTCTTGCAGGTCAAAATATTTACCTGCAAGAAACTACTTTTGTCCATCATTTCTTGCAAGTGGCTACTTTCACTCAAAATCCTGCAAAAATTTTTTAAAAATCTTATTTTTGATCAAAATTTCAGATACGTTGGAGAAATCCAGGAAAACAGTCAGCCTGGAACGTCCGTCAATTTCAGAGGATTATTCGGCTTATCAGTTTCTCATTCGAATCCGGGAGAAATCATTGCCCTCTCCATTCCCTCGACCTCTAAAGGATCCCCCAACTCAGACACCTACTCTCACCAAAGTCCATTTATTGGACCAATTAATTCTCGTTTTCCAACTCAAAATCAACTAATTAACACATTCGAACTCATTCCTTCTCAAGGCGTGGGCAACTTTTCCTTTGAGATACGAGTAGTCGACCCCAAACTTTTAGACTATGAGACGTATCATGAAATTAAGTTGATGGTGAGTGAGCGTAGTAATTTAGTTTAATGACTTAATACCAACCATGCATGCACGATTCTTCATTCATCTGATTGCGCAACCAGATAATGGCTTCAACTCAAGGAGGACTTTCTTCCGAAGTTGAAGTAACAATTCACATTAGAGATGAAAATGATAACCCGCCAGTCTTCTCCCAGTCCGAATATAAAGTCACCATACCGGAGCACAGGTTGACCATAGATTTATTTTAATTAGTGCTTAATTATCAAAGCATTGTCAAAGGGTTAACTAAGGATAAGTTTACAATTGTTTTCTTTAAATGCAAACAGTCCCGTGGGCACGAAGGTGATTCAACTCAAAGCCACGGATAAAGACTCCACCGGGACGAATGGGGAAGTAATGTATGCAAATCTCGTGGGTTCGGACGCTTTTCATCTAGATCCTCAAACGGGAGAAATTACCGTAGACAAACCTGAGCTTATCGATCGAGAGGTTGAATCAGGTAGTTAAAGACGATTTGGTTTAACTTATAGTCAAATTGTTCAATACTTTGATTTCCTTATGGCAGAGATAAGACTGTACGTGGAGGCGAAGGATGGCGGGTACACCGAGTTTTCGAACCCCTCAACATTGCGAAACATGGCGACGGCGACCATAATTGTGAAGCTGCATGATCAAAATGACAACAAGCCCGAATTTCTTATGAAATATTATCAAGCGGTACTAAATCCTGACATGGCGTCGTTTAAGACTCCTATCCATGTGAAAGCGTTTGACGCTGATGAGGGGCCCAACGGACAGATCAAGTACCAATCGTTGGACCCCAAGTTTTTTGTGGATCCGACAAATGGTATTCAATATTTTGATAATTTAAATTGGAAATTTTATTGGTACTTAATTATGAATTTTTAGGAGAGGTCCGAATTCGAGGCGTTTACAATAAGAGCCCATCAGCCGGGGATGGTCCATACTTGGGAGCGTTCAGAATAAGAGCGTACGATTTGGGAAATCCACAACAAAGCGCGGAAACCGTGGTACAGCTTTTTTCCGAGGAAATGGTCATACGAGAGATTCAATTTGTTTTTCCGGCTACTCCCGAAAAAATTAAGAAGAATCAGACCAACATTGAGAAAATGTTGTCTTCACTGACAGGTCGGATATATCAGAAATAGTTCTAAATTTGGAAAGTTCCCAGCGTGTGCTGACAGATTTTGGCCAAATTAGTGTCAATCGATCGCAAATTATTTAATTTGTATGAAATTTGCAAAAGACACCATCTAGATTTTGCAGACATATTTGCATCGAAAGAGGAGAAAGCGCTCCTTAAAGTTGAAAATTTTTACACTTTCCAAAAATTTACTGCGCGCTTTCTCCACTTCGGATGCAAATATCTTCGCCAAACGTGACCATTGGGAGATAGTGTCTTTTGCAAATTTCATACAAATTTGTGATCGATGGTCACTAATTTGGTCAAAATTGGAGAGCATCCGCTGGGAGACCTCAATTATAAGTGTCACATTTTAATAAAAGTTAAAATGTAGGAGGGATCGTGGGTATCCAGAAAATTACCCCGCTTTCATCAACATCAAGGTCTGGCCTTACTGACGCCAGTGGTAACAATTTACGGCGTATCAACAGTATTCCAAATGATGGGACCCCAATTGACGAGAATAATAACAACGACGTGTGGCCGAACGGTGAAAGTGCGGCTGGACGATCTATCATCCCAGCTCCACCAGTCGTTCCTACTTTGTCTCCGCAAAATTATGCGAATGCAAATACAGGAGATAAAGGTCCCGGGATTGGAGCCGGAAATACCGGGAGTCGAGGAAGGTCTGCTGACTTATCATCGGAAAAATCCCTTGTCATTGCCACCGTCCAATATCCCGTCCTGAACGGTCAACCCACACGGGTTGATCTTGCCGCATTTGAGAAAGCATATGGCGGAGGTGGTGGTGGAGACGTGAGAGAAGTTACAACTTTGCCAAGTCACGACACTGAAATGATTGTGAGTTCTTAATTAAAAAGTGTGGCTTTCATTTAATGAAAACCTGATTATTCAAAATCTTATTGCAGAAACTATATGAAGCCGAAAATCGTGCCTTGTTCTGGATTTTGATCACATTTCTTTTCCTACTACTGATCCTCTTTGCCATATTTTTGTGCTGCATTTACTGCCCGTGTTGCTGGCTGTATGGTCACTGGTAAGTTTTAAACAAATTTCAAGGTATTCAACTTCCTTATGAAATTGACTTAACTATCTCACCTTGGTCAGTTACAGTAAAGGGGTCAAAACTCCAGATGCGAAAGAAAGGGTGCGAGTGGAACGTGTCATCGTGGAAAAACGAGCCGGAGGCCGACATTCGAGAAAGACATATCCAGCCGAAGAAACAGAGGAGGATTCTGGCGATTTAGAAAGCGGAAGTTACCGACGTGGACCCCCACCACCGCATCACCACGTACGCAGAGAAGCGTGGAGTGGGGAGGAACATAAAAGCTCCTGGAGACGCGGGGGACCTCGGGCAAGATATCAAGAACGGCCCCCTACCCCGCACAGTACGTCGCACTAATTTATGTACTTAATGGGAATAATTATGAATTATTGTCATCTGAAAATTTCAGACAAACGTGACGGACAAAGACACAGAAGCCGACCCCAAGAAGCCGACGTATCTCTGGAAGACTGGGATTTTGAACCGTCTCAAGGACAAAGAGATAGAGCTGAAGAAATCGGACCCAGATGGCAGAATATGCAACACGTACAACAAGTCCACGTACTCCCCCCACAACAACAACCCCAAACTATTACGGTACCAGTCCCGCTGGCAATGATGCCGCTGCAAGTGCAACAACAGCTTCAGCAACAGGTTTGCGATCAAATTTTTGTTGTGTGACAATTTTTTTTGGTAATGTTTAAAATCCTCTCTAGATTCCCCAACAACAACAACAACAGCAACAAAGACGAGTCGGTTATGTAGGGCAGCAACATCCCGGCGATGAAGATTTTGTCCGTAGACATCGTTCCGACACAGGTGACCAAGTCTCAGGTCATTACATGCCGGCGGAAGTTGAACGCTCCCAGGTGCATATTCCCCGTCATTATCCGGGTGGGTCCGCCCCTGGACCGGATAGTGGAAAACAAAGGCAAACACGGTTTTTTAAGTAAGCTTTCGTCTCGTGTGGTTATGCATTATAAAAATACATCAGTGGCCGCGGAAGCCGTGGGGACATGTGGGGACATTAACATTGTAGGATAGGGGAGGGAAGGGTTTATATAACATGGGCAGATGATGGGGACATCGAAAAACCTTTGGGACATTGTCCCCACGTTTCCGCGGCCACTGTTTGACTACTTATTAGTTGAATGACCTAAAATAAATTAAATAAAACGTACCAATTTACAGAACCGAGACCGGCGAAGTATTACAATTCGCCGACATGGAGGGCGAAGAAGGCAAAGAATTGTTAATGAAGCGCTACATCGACGACCACCAGCAACAACACTTTGAACAATTAGCCGAAGGATTTAGCGGTCCACTCGTTCAACTCGATGATACCCAAGACCTGCAAGCCTTAAATAATGAAGCAAGCTTAGTTCCAGCTCCTTCCGTAGCCTCATCCGTGGATCGACCTCGTGCCGCCCTCATGACAAAACGACCCCATAAACTCACCACTAAAGAGATGGAAATTGCAGAACAACAAGATCAGGACGACGATGAAATATTAATTCGGGACGAGAAAACCAAAAGTAAGCGAAACAATAAGACCACCACAACAAAATCCAAGAGCAAACAAACCACCACAAAGTCATCCAAAGTCAGCCGTGAGAAATTGCTCAACAGCCGGGATGAAAATGGTGATGGAGATGATGACGATGATAATAATCTACAGAAAAGAAAGAAGCAGCAGCCGCTCGAACTGCAGGATCACGAAAGCCGGCGACATAATAAGGACGCTAATAAAGATAAAGATAAGTTGAAGGGTAAACGTCAACCCAACAGAAGATCTCATTCGTTAAGTGAGGAAATTGACAGTGACACTGAGGGTGACGGATCTGCAGGAAAGAATAGGAAAAAATCCGACTCGACTAAACCCAAATCGAAAAGTGTGAGTCGAAGTCGTAGCAAGAGTAAAAGCACTTCCAAATCTAAATCAAGATCTAAATCGGGATCAAGGTCGACTTCTCCAGTATTACGGGCATCCAAATCTAATTCCAAGTCCAAAAGTCCACCAGATGAAGATCGGGTGCCTGTGGATGAAACAGCCAAAAAGACTAAACAGCAGCCTTCCGCTGTGGTGCAACAACCTTCAAAAAGTTCCAGAAAAGAAATTGTAAAAGATTCACCCTCGGCGAAAGGAGGTGATCATCATCACAAAACTCATCGGAAGCATGGACGAAGATCTAAAGAGAAAGTAGTGCCGGATCCCCAACAGCAAACAATGGAACAGGAACTGCAAAAATCTGCTCCTTCAGATTCTGCTCAACCACTCGCCAACATCACCAATGTTCCCGTAGTTTCAGTCGAACAAGTGCAGCAAAGGTCAGCAGAAGATAATCAGCACGAGGCGGAAGTGGATATCAACATAATCCCACCCAGCTCGGCGGCCATGAGTGACGAGAATGATAACGAGAAGGCGAGAGAGAAAGTGGCAGAGGGGGAAATAAGGGATCAGGCTTATCAAGAGGGTGATAACCACCGAAACAATGACAGTGAGGATCATGAAGCCCAAGTGACCACCACCACCACAACGACAACCTCCACCTCACACCAACAAGTCGTCGAGGTGGAGGAACACGTACAACAAATCGTGCAGGAGGAAGCCCTTCATGAAAATGATGACGAAGACTCCGGCATTGGGATTTCCGGTGCAGGAACAAACATATCAAAACGTAACAGGATGCTGGAGAAAAAATCCGTTTTTACCATTGCTTATGATGAAGTCGCCCGAAAAACCTTGATGAGACCGGACACTGGTAGCAATAGTAATAATGAGGCAGAAGGTGGAGTTGCCTCGTAGTCAAAATAATAATAAAAAGATTAACCAAATTATGAATATTTACAAAAATTATGAATATTGTCCGTCTCAACGTCATCAAATTATGAATATTTACAAAAAATATTGATACAATGTATTATTTTATACTGGAAAAAAGGTTGTACCTAATTAACTATTTAATTAAATATCTGGTGAGTAAGACGATGACTTTTGTAAATGTACTCCAAACTACTAAACTATAAAATAAAGTGTATATACATAACGTTAATGCAAGGTTGAAATAAAATATGATAAGCTTTCTCCATCCAGAAATATTTAAACTTGCTTAATGGATATGGCCAGTGGCCGCGGAGGCTGTGGGGACATTGGGGGACGTTAACATGATAGGCCATCGAGGGGGTCATATAGCATGGGCAGATGATCGGCACATTGTCCCTCTGTCCCGACGCTTGCGCGGCGGATATTGCCACGGGAAATGAAAGCAACTTAATACCGCACTTCACCAATCACCATCATTCACGAACAATTTTACTAAAAGCATACTTTGCCTTCTTCTTCAAGTTAGAATAACTGCCCCTAGCCAATGAAGGTTTTGACCCAAATTCATCATTCTTCTAGGTATATCCTATCATCATATATTTACGTAACTACTCGCGTCTAGTCCATATATCCACAAGGACAGTAGACCCATCATTTTATGACATTGCTGGCATTGTTTTAATTGTCCGTCTCGAAATTCTCTACCCGCATTTGTTTTCTTTCCTTGAAACTTACTTCATCCCAAGGAAGCAATCTCGACGAGGCATTTTCTTCTTCTTTCTTTAACCTATCAATGTCATTGGATTTTGTGGAATGTTTATTGTGCTTGGGGTTTCTTCTCTCTTTCCTTTAATGTCCTCGATCCTCTCCACCTTTTATCCTCATGTTGACTGACGCCATCACTGGCTGAGATCATATGGGTTAAGCAGTTAAGCTGTAACAAATGATGGGCATGATGGTTTGTCTTCACTTAGGTAGGGGGAGGAGAGGATGGGCACCGTGCAGTACCAGATTTTGATGTCTGTTGGATATAACCAGTGAAGTACAAAAGTTTGACCCATTTACGCAAGTCACACCCTCTTCAAAGGGATTATAACCATTAAAACAAACTTTCGCTAAAACAACTATTTTGGTCGGACTTTTATAATTTTTGCAGTTTATAAACCGTCGAGGGTTATCATATTCAATATTAACTTCAAGTTTTTGAAGTATTTTTTAAAATTTTCTGTTTTCAAAAAACTCAAAAAACGAGTTTGATATTGGACATGATAAAGCTGCTATTTGTAACTGTAAATACGTACGACTTTTCAAAATCCAATCAGAATTTGATTTTTGGTGGATGCACCAAAAACAGGGTGTTTTACTATTTTTTGCCATTTTCAGTGGGTGTAAATGGGACCATGGAGCGAAACCATTTGGGAGTTTTAGACACTCACCTAGTACATGTCTAAAAGGCATCAAAATCTGGCACTGTCCACCTCACAACCTCTCCTCCTTAGTTTCTAAGCAAAAACAAAGCTTTTGGAATAATCCTCGAGGAATTTGTGGAATAATGCTCTTCTCGGCCCTTTGAGTCACGAATTTAGTATTTTAGTAATTAAATATTTATTCCTTTGGTTTTATACAGCTTTGATTTAGGTACATTTTGGTAATGATCTCTAGCGAATCAGTCCAGTCTCTCTAGTGAAAAGTGGTCTTTCGTACAATGTAAATACTAACTAAAACGACTAGAAGAAGTAAAGCTTTTCCCGAAAGAGTGAAATATCGTGGCTGCGGCGCTATACTTTCCCCAGCTGCCCAGTGGGATGACCAATGCGGTAATATTGTCCTCGGAGGAATACTCAAATGCCTGAAAGTGCCAATTCATAATTTGTATAAAATTTTTATTTTGAATTTTGGGTTCGATTTCTGCTTTCTTCCCAGAAAACGGGGGGAAGAAAATCCCTGAAAATTCTCACGACCCGTAAAAAACATAGCCTAAAAATGGTCGAAAATTCCCGGAAACTTTCCCCGCTTTCACAGCAAACGTGTTAGCACGTTTCCACCACAAATCAAACGTACGCTTTCACCTTTTATGAAAACGACATCGAAAACTTAAAGATTTTGGTAAAAACCATGTCTCATTTCTCAGAAAAAATCTGTCAAAACTAAAAATTTAGCTTATTTGTCCCATTATTTGTTCTTCCTGCTCAATAGATTTCCTTCGCCTTAAATCAGAATTTCTCCAAAAAAGAAAATTGAAAATCTCAAACTTTCCCCTGCTTGAACTGAATAACTCGAACAAATACTTTTTGCAGGAAGAGAAAGTTCACTCGTTCTCAAGATCAGGCATAATTTCCTCTTCTATTCACCACCATCGTGCTAAACATGCGGTTGAATTGGTATATGGACTAAAAGCGACTTGATTTTTGAAGGATTCGCGAGTGGTGACTCGAGTTTAATTTTGTTATCAAACCCGTGTTTGTTCCCTCTTCCGCTTTCACTTACTGTCTCGGTAAGAAGCGTGGCTGCATACTGCGGGTCCTTTGTTTGCAGCACCGTGTTGATTATCTCGGTGTCAGTCATGACGTTGTTGATCTGCTGGGAGAAAGGAAATATGTAATAGAATGCCGGATATGGGATGACAATGCCTTATATAAATTCAACTTATGTACGAACCCCGTCGGTGGTTAAGACGAGAAATGAATCCCTCGAATGGTCTAGAATAATAAAATGGGTATATGAACACGTAGAAATATGCATTAGTGCAAAGAAACGTGGAACAAAAAATTTGAGAACAAAAATTACGGGATATTTACGATTAAAGGGTAGTACACAGGACGGATTTTTCGCGTGAAATGATAGGTTCTTCGCTTTGTATTAAATTACCCCTTCACTGGAATTACCTGAATTTCGCTATAAATTGTACGAAATTGGAGTGCTTCTTTAACTCAATTTTCGTATTATTTAAATTTCATATTTTCGTTGTTTTTGCTGAACTTTTTCAAGCCAAAAATCCGTCCTGAGTACTAAGCTTAATTCAAATAAAAAATTAATTTACTGTCAAGAGACAAATGATATTTTACCTATTTTCATAGAAATTACATCCGGTGCGGCTATCACGCCAAAACGCTTCAATTCATGATCTCCTATACTACGGCTCATTGCTAGTCTTTCGTTTACCCGACCAGTGTCACTTATTCGACCTCCAGATCGTTCAATTCTTGTCTGAATAATAAAAAAGAAAGAAAATCCACTTCTTCATAAAAGATGGGCAAAGTCAACATGCATAGCGCATTGTGTACATACACATATTGTGGAGAAAGGAGATAGAATTCTGTGCATATATACTCACTTTCTCCGTGATAAGAGAGGGATCATGGTCCGTGGTGAGTTTTCTGGCTTCCCCAGATCTGCACAGGATCGCTCGGGAGTCTCCTACATGGCCAATAAAAAGGTGTATGTTATCCTTCAAAATGCAGATTGTTGCCGTTGATCCAGAACTCTTAATATCCGGACCTAGTTTTTGATAATTTTAAGCATACACTAATATTTTTATATACAACTTTTATCCTCATGTGTATTTACACATGTACTTACCCCGTCTGCCAAAAATGTACCAACTCGCGAAGGCATTGTTAACTTCGAGAAAGGATTTGTGAAGGGCGGTGGGCACATCCACGTCAGGATTTTGAAACCAGTAGGCTAGCTGTGTAAAGTTGGTTATATTCAGTGACCGCGGAACGTGGGGGACAATGACAACGTGAGGGGCAATGTCCCCACAGTTATTCGATGTCCCCATCATCTCCCCATGTTATATAAACCCTCCCCTATCCTACAATTCTAATGTTCCCAGATGTCCCCACGGCTTCCGCGGCCAATGGTTATATAAGTAAGGCATGCATACATACATAAAGGAGATCACAAATGCATGCTCTTCGTAGGAACTGGAAAACCATAACTCGATTAAGTGAAACATTCGAAACCAGTCCATTGCACGACAAACATACATCTTGCATAACGGAATACGAAAATAATGGCACAGACCAGGAATGAATCGAATAATCAAATGGAGAAATCCATCAAACGAGACGTGACACACAATATAAATGCAAAGTCTCAAGAGAAAAGAGAAAGTCTGAATTGGTCCCTTGCACACACACCCGCCGTATGTCTGTCCCTGCTCTTCCGTCTGTTTTAAAATCAGTGAACGGGAATGATTGAGACGTAAAATGACATAAATACGAATTGAAAAATCTCTGCGTGAAATGAAGTTTGAGGACGAAGAAAGCGAAACCATTTTAAAGTTGAGTAGGTTTTTGGAGAGGAACGACGGGTGAAAGTTATTCATTGTATTGAAAGCTTTCCCCGACTGACTCTGCCGTCTAAATATAACCGTTCTCTCTTTTACAAAAACCATCATTTCCATCCGAATGTTTTGAATTTTGACATCCCGCACGAACATCAATTTTCATAATGGTTTTCCCCTCATGTGTATGTCCGTATTACTCAATAGCAACTGATGTCAAACACATGCAGTATACTTTAAACTTTGAATTACGTACGTACATATCTATAATAATACAATAGAAACCAATCTCTCTCACATGTTTGGGGAAAATTGTGGCGCAAAAGTTGGCACAAACGTCGGATCCATGTCCGTCAAAAACAGCAAGGTACAAAGCAGAAGGATCACCGTTCAAGTTCCCAACTCTGGAAATATGTATGTACATGTTACAATACATGAGTTATCTGTACATTTTGTACATTTACAGCTGTCGGAATGATGATTTTTCTTACCCGTACTGGTCTTCCATGTAGGTTCGTCTCCCCTTACCGGAGGAGACGCCGACGTTATTCGCCCTGATGGAAGGGACAGGTTTGCCAGATGCAATTGTTGCATCAACCTAGAAGATGGGATAAACTGAGAATGGAGGTCGCTCAGCGTATGCTCTCAGATTTTGACGAAATTAGTGTCAATCGATGGCAAATTTAATTAATGCAAAATTTGCATAATTATGACATAAAATGACATTAGATTGAGAATTAATATGACATTTGGTGAACAAATGCGTAAGTTTGGAGGAGATACTTGCATCTGAAGAGGAAAAAGTGCACAGTAAATTTGAAAAGTGCAGTCAAATTTAAGACGCGCTTTCTCCTCGTTGGATGCAAATATCTTTGCCAAATTTTAGCATTGACAGATCGTGTCTATTGCAGATTTCATATAACTTAAATTTGCAATCGATTGGCACTAGTTTGCTCAAAATCTGAGAGCGTACACTAGGACACCTCCATTATGAGACATACATAAATGGATTGACGAGTCAATTAAACCCGGGAAGAATGTCATTTTCAATACTAAAAGTCCCTACATATGACCAATTTATTATACCTCAAGCGGTAAATCCGTAGCTGTATCCCACGTCCCTAAACTATCCAGACTCTCCTTTCTCTTCTTAAGTTTAGCAGATGCTCCCACAAAGGAGGAGGATGACGATGAGGATTTAGTTTTCGTGCCCTGCGACGACTTCCACCTTGCATTTGAATTCCAATTATTTTCTTCACATCTCCCACAAACTCTTGAGAAGATGGGGGACACACCGGCATTCTTCTCCGTATTTGCACTGCTGCCACCGCCACTAAAAAGTGTTCTGAATCTTCTTTTTTGCAGACTTGTACAAATCCCCATTATTATACGGCGATCCATCCTAACCAACAACAATAACTTGCTCTCTCGGTCGGTGTGTGTGTGTAGTTCCCAAATCCTTATTTACTTTTCTTTGTTCACTTTACTGCATCTTTCCCAGGATTTTATTAGCTTCCTTTATTCACTCAGGGCGTACATACATGCACTGACTTTTTTTTAGGTTGGACGGATTATTATTTTTTATCCACTTTCTTCTAACTCTCCTCTGAAATTGCGGATGTAGTATTTTCAACTTAAATATTTTCTGTTTCACCTCGTGTGGATTTGTGCTCCGTTGAAAAAGTTGGATGTAAAGGTTGCCCCCATTTTGAAGTAACTTCCGGTCGGAGAAAGTTAAAGGTGAAAGTGACAAGGTGTTCGGGACGAGATTTGAAGTAGCTTAGGAGCCAAATTGGTAAAGCACCTGGGAGAAAGTATAGTTTGGTTGTACGTGCTATTTGTAAAATTGGCAAAATGTATTGAAAATATTAATTGATAAGTTAAAAAAAACATTAAAAAGGAAGGGATTTGACTTTATTATATTTTTTCATATTTGTTATGCAGTTCTAAACTCATTGTTCGATGCATGGGATGCAGAACCAAACTTATTTTGTCACGTGCTTACGTCTTTATTTACGTGGAAGTACGTCTACAACTTTATGCAACATTTGCAGATTTTTTACTTTGATGCTGGAAACCCTCTACTCCACGAGTTTTCTGCATTTGTGTACTTTTTTGCAGACTATATTTGCATATTTCTCTTTTTTCCTTCTTTACATAAGCCCCTGAAATGTCACCAACATGCACGGCACGTGTAAATAAGTACATATATACACCTTTGCTTTGATCACACTGCAAAGCTGCACAAGAGACCTTGCAACTTTTCTGAGAATAATTAAATTGCGTTTAGGCGTGGTGTTTGACATCGTATGAATTTTGATTGACTCGAGCGTTTCAATTTCCAACGGAACGTTTCATAACGGGATGGTGTTACATGCATACTATTCTCGGATACAGGTTTCCTCTGATGTTTGTGACTTTCTCTCTCCCTTATAAACAAAGTCTCAGTTTCAACCAGCACACACATCTGCGCCTTTCGCCTTCCAAGTAAACTTCCGCCGGCGTTTTCACTTCCGTTTAATTCTCTCTTAATTCAATTCTACGCCACGACCAAGGCTAAAGAGGTTCATTTGATGTTTGCCTTTTGTCCTCAAAACGGCATGCAAGAAGACCTTGTTGCCATATTATGTATTTCAATGTCGTCGTGACCAGTGGCCGCGGAAGGGTGGGGACAGAGGGACAATGTCCCCACGGTTGTTCGATGTCCCCATCATCTGCCCATGTTATATAAACCCGTCCCTCCCCCATCCTACAATGTTAATGTCCCCACGGCTTCCGCGGCCAATGGTCGTGACACTCCACATGCTACCACATCTTACGTTTTACGAGAAAAGTGTGCTATGAGGGCGTGTTTGCAATCTGTCTCTATTTCGCGTATTGATTTTCAGAAGGTTGTTGTTTACCCTTTGTGAAAGAAAATCAGCCATTGTGACTTTCCATCTCTATAAAGAATCGTTTCAGTTTACTGATCCAAAACGTATGTATGATTGCAAAACTGTATATACGATTTCCGGGATTTGAATAGTCAAAGTGTGACGAAATTGGTTGTGTATGTATGTATCGAATCGGATCGGATTGAGGAATGCGAAATGCAGTGCGGCCTAATCAATTTTGATATGTGATCATGAAAGAATGTTACTTTTTGTTGGAGAGGGAGTAAGTTTTACAAAGAAAAAAGAACAACTTCAAAGAAAGTTAAACTGACATTGGTTTCACCTTCTGTTTACGCTGAATTTGTGTTCTATGTATAGATTTCTGGTCACTTTTGAACTTGAAGAAATTCTTGGAACGAAGTACCGATAAGCGTAGAAAGATACCTAAATCTAATCGGTATCTATATAATTCTAAATATAAAGCTGTACCTATACAATACCCAAAAAGTTAAAATGAGGGGATGGAATTTATCAAAACAAGTCTAATCAAAGCAAGAATTAAAGATAAAACCTTAACCGATGTCCAACGATTGTATCAGGAAAGTGATTTTGCGATGAGCTTTTTAATCGAAATTGATACGACCTTGCAAACTTTAGCGATATTGTGGTGCAAATTCTAAACTTTGGTCTTTAGCCTTATACATAATCGTAATTTAGCAGTTGATCAAATCGATAAATTGTACAAATTTACATTTGGAAGGTTAAAATGAAAATGAAAAAATTATATTGTATGAGTAAAACGCCAAAAATAAAAATACCAAGAATTTAAACGAACTTACATTTAAATAGGTAAAGGATTTTCCAGGTGCACAAAATTTGCACAAAAAATTAGCAAAACTTCACCATATTAAATATTTCTGATTGTTAAAAAATGAGCTTTTATGATCAATTTTAAACAGTCGTCGTCGTGAACCATGTGTTACTACGAACTTACATTTTCATGATAAACCAAACTTTTTGCCGCTTTAGTCGAGCCAAACTCCGAAAAGGGTCCGAAAATCGTGCCGAGAAGTCTGCCTTTGGAAAATACATTGCATGTCATTCTTCTCTAGTTGCGTGTATGCATTTCATTCTTTTATTACCTGCGGTAATAAACATTATGCAAATATTTACTTCGTAATAATAATGAAACTGCTTATTTTTGGTGGAGTATGCTACGTCCTAAAGATAGACAAAAAATGATAAATTCATAATATTCCAGACCCAATTAAGGCGTGGATGTCAATAATTCAGTAATTACGACATAGGTAATGATGCCCCAGAACTAATCCAACTAAACGAACCGAATTTATTAAGGCACACAGCCACAAAATATTAAACGGCACCTATTTATTCTCAATTATTTATCGATCCCCGCAATACATACTCGACTAATAGAATTTTTAATAATAATGTCTAGTCAAATATTTTACTATTTTTAGTACCGTTTATTTTTATGCTCGTATGAACTTATTACATAACATGGTGCAAAATGCATTGTTCACAAGGTTTTTTTAAAAAGGCTAGACATCATCATGGGGAGCAAATGCGCATATTTATTTTACATGAGCTTTCACCACACTATTAGAAATCTGGTATAGTCAGGCAGTTAATGATTTCTCGGTATTAAAGTTGCTACCGTTTGGTATCAAAATTGTACCCCTTCATAAAATTTGTAAAACTTTAATATCGAGCTATTACTACACGGTATTACTCGTCAATACAACTTTGGCAGAGCTATACACGAATACCGCTTGGTATTATTTTAATCCTGAATTTCTAAGAGTGCCCTCTTATTACATAAGACTGCATTGTTCCCAAATTTTTAAAAGCCAGTCATCATCTCCATCATCATGAAGAGCAAATTCTTATATTTATTTTACATGAGCTTTCACCCAGCAGGTTTACTCATACGTTTCTCTCGTCTGGTTTATTCAGTAAAAGCAATTCTATATACAGCATGGTTAGGCAGGCAGCCCGTGTTCGTTCGTTCGTGGGTGTTGGTCCCACTTTCTCTCTTTCTTTATGTCAAAAAACAAAACACAAAGCTTTCTCGTTTGTTTGTATTGAACGAAAAAAGCGTGTAGGAATATCTTTCAGGGAAAGATTTCCTCCAAGAGTAAACCAATATGGGGAAATATTTACCAATATGGTGAACAAATTCCTATGGAGAAAAAAACTTGTAGTCCAGAAAATTGGGAATGTCGAGGGTGCTGGCTGGTGGTCGGTCGGTGGGTCGGTCGGTCGTGCATAAAACCTATAATTTCTCGTTACACTTTTACAGTTATGTTTATCCTCGCGGTGTAATGTTGGCTTGCTTTACGTATAACAACAAAAAACTCGCAATTGATACAAGACGAAGAAAAAGGTGCAATTTCTGGCAGGGATATCGTCTCCCGCATCAAATATAATGGCAATGGTGGTTACATTTCATAATTGCGGTGGTGGTGGTATGAATACATAGAGACAATTTCATTCCACGTAAATATTACTTTATTCCACCCTTCCCTTGACAAAAATTGGCCTTGGAAGAATGTACAAATGTGCAAGTGATAGCTTTTGGCTATGTAACACACCACTTCTTCTGCGACCTATTTGATTCAGTGGCCGCGGAAGGTGTGGGGACATTAACATTAGAGGAAGGGGTTTGTATAACATGGGACATCGAATACCCGTGGGGACATTGTCCCCCTGTCCCCACCCTTCCGCAGTCACTGAATTTCTATTGTACATACACTCACCCATCCACCCACCCACCAAAACCAACCACATTCAGGTCTCTTTCGACATCCTCAAATCGATTCAAGACTAAACCGAAATAGCAGATCATCCACTTTCCTCACCCCGTTCTTCTTTTTTCTAGAATGTGACTTTCCCACATTTTTCTACACATTAACATATATCACTCATTGAAGTGTAAATAATGCTTGTCTTGGTATTTTCCTTCTCCCTTTAATAAAAGAGTTGGTGCTGAGTCCCCACCCGGCGGTTGGGTTAATTTTACCGAAAACTTTTGAAACTTTTGCCTTCCCCTGCAAATAACGCCTCGCGTTGCAACCAATTATTCGTAAACTGCTCGATCTGCAAGTCAAATCCAACGTCAAATATTCGCTGACAATAGGCAAACCCTGAAAATCCAACATGATGAATCCATAATAAAAGTGTAAAGTAGGTGAATTTTCAAGTATTTTCTCTCCTACACCGTCATCACGATGATGATGGAGATGCATGTTGGAAAGGTGACTTCCTGTGCTCATACTTTCTCTTCACCAGATGCGACGAGATGAGGATCCTCGTCGTCTCATCATTTCCACGTCCCTGCTTTCCCCGTCTAGTTGAAAAAGCAGGCCTTTCCTTTCCTCCTTTATTCGAATAACGAGTCCTAGCTGGTGGTGCTTCTTCCTTCTGCCTTGAGCATTCACACGACGACGACGACGACTGATCCACTACTACTTGCTGAGCTTTCACTCACTCATCCTCAGCACACGAGGCTCAATGTGATGGAATACGTATAAGACGTGCAACAGAGCCTCGTCGCGAATGTAGTCTTGCTTCTCTCGTCCAGTAAAACGAACCCAAATTTCACTTTCTCCTCTTCCACTACATTAGCACACAAAACCACATTTTATTTGTATTTACGTCGCAGACTAGCAGTCTCACACGACGGGTGTGAGTATGAGATTCAGTTAGAAAGTTGGCTGGCTTGGCCCCCTCCCGAGTTGGTTGGTGTGGTGTCGGTTGTTATTAGTCAGCCTTTCACGGACAAGTTTTTCTTCCAAGTAGGAAAGCAACTTGGTTGGTACTGGAATTGGACTCCTGCTGGGTCCATTTACTCTTTTGGGAAAGAAAACTGTTGCATTTTCTCCTGTATCATCATCTTACTTCTTCTTCGTATACGCTCCGCCTTCCCACAACATAACTCTTTTTTCCTACTCGACTCTCTCTGTTACTTGACTCCTTTGGCAGTTGCAATTTGTTCAGGGAGAAGAAAGCAGGTTGCAATTTGGTCTGTTAGAGGAGAAAAAGTGAAAGCATCTTCTGCACGTATCTAGGATTTTATTCTTCTTAGGCAGGGAATCGTACAGTGTGGGCCGAGGTGACCCATTGTACTCATTCGATACTTATTTTCCAGCTTAACGACCCGCATTGTCTTAATAGCTTGGTAAATTCGTCCCTATCCACACACAATTAATTAAAACAGCGGTTTCAATTGATTTTCGAGAAAAATTCCTCTAAAAAATAGCATGATTCCATTCGAGGATTGTTCCTCGTGCGAAAATAAATTGACTTTTTCTCTGAATGTCTGTCATCCTCGGGTCCTCTGCGAGTAGTCACTTTCCCACCGCGAGAAGAACCACTTCTCTTCTCCACTGACAAGAAGTTAGTTCCCTTCAAGTGTCGATTGCCGCTTTCATTTCAAAACTGCCAACGTAATTCTCCATCAAATTGAAACAAAGGGAGACACGAAACAGAAGGTTCACGTAACCAGCTTCATTCCTAAAAATCGGAAAAGAACTACCATAAAACCAACACATTTAGCAACGTGACTGCCTCCCAACTGGTGAGATTGAGTTAAGCTGGTAAAAAAAAGTCACTTAGCACCGTCAGGCCGAGGGAAATATACAAAGTCGGAAGAAAAAAAGTGCGAAAAGTTAAGTAAAATAAATCCCTACACACAGAAAAGAAAAGTGAAAGCGAGAGACAACTCGTTCGGAGTGAAAGAAGTTTCTTTGGTCCCGCATCGAATCACCCCACGAACAAGTTTTATCCCAGGCTCAACCATTTCTTCGAGTCAATTACGCATTGACTTTAATGGTCAAGATTTCACTCGAGACTTGACTGATTGTCCTGTACGAATTTAAGTGAAAGTAAGTAAGCCCATTATTAAATGCTGGATGTTCGTAGGACTGGGTTTGATTGGAAGATGGGATTTTGATACCAAAGCTAATCTCAAATTGAGACTTTTATTCCTAGAAAAAAATACGATACGATACGATCGTATCGTACAACAAGAGAGAAGAAATTGTATTGGAAGACTTTGACAAAATGGGGAGAGAATTGAATCGTGCTGGAATTGGGAGGTCGTCGTCATCCTCGGTGACGGACAGCATCAAGAAAACTGGGACGCAAAGGACGGACAGTAGTAAGTACATGGATTTTATTGATATCGCGAAAATTGTGGTGCGACAGACAAGGCTGGAAAACAAGATGGTATTTATGGGGTAAATCAGTAATGTGGTCAGTGTTTCGTGGGTTGCGATTTTTCTACATTTCTTGGATTGCAAAGCAAGAAAGGCAAGAAATGCGAGGTGCAAGAAATTGCTAAAAAGGTGCAAAAATAGGCGCCATCCAGCTACGCGCCGTATGAAGTGCAGCGACGGGGCGTAGTTTCTTGCGCCTTGCATTTCTTGCAGGTCAAAATACCCGCAAGAAACCACTTTTCCCCGTTATTTTTTGCAAGGGTTTTTTGCAAGGGGTTACTTGCACCCGAAACACTGAATGTGGTCATTCAGCCGTGTTTATTTTTATTTTTGCAGAGAGCAACCTCATGGGAAAATTCACTCAAAGTGTCCGTCGCATCGTGCAAGATGTACGGGATGAAGGTGCCCCAAGTGAGTGGTGTCTATCTATTTATGTACTGCATTTTATTCTGTGTGTATTCATTCACCAACCAACAATATGTTTCTCCTGTTGTTTTTTCTCATGCAAATGTGAACATACACAGACGTACGCTAATTGGACATGTCGGCATTCAAGGGTTTTTTTGAGTATGTGCTTTGTATGATGTCATGTCCTAAAGTCATTACGGTTTGACGCACTTATGCATTTCCTCCAAGGGTAGGAACCTTGTTAAAAATTCATAGAAAACGTAGACGTACGACTCCATCAAATTTGTCTTTATTTGAGTTTATTTTGTTTATGTATGTAGTCACTTTTTACCTATTTTTATTCCTTGTTTAGCCCTATTTTTGGAAATTTCTGTGGGAAATCACTTGAATATTTAGAAAACTGTTGCATTTCTATTTGCAATGATTGCATTATGGGAAATGTTATGTAATTGAATGCTAAATTTACATCCAATTTATGAATTTTCCTTTATTTTAAAGGTGGCCAAACGAAGGAGGAAGCGATCAAGACGAACTTGCGCCTGCGATCGCTGAGACGAAGGTTGGAAACGAATTACGAGACGGCGAAACAAGCATTGGTCAATTTGCACATAGAATACGAAAAATCAAAAGAAGTTCGAAACCCGTTCAACCGGTATCCTCTTCTCAAATCTATGATCAAGGTTGGTATGGATTTTGTACATATGTAGACAAAAATATTTAGCAAATATTTGGCATTTCCGACCAAAAATGAGACATATTCTGCTGGGAATGAAACGAGACATGTCAAAAATACTGTTGATATCATCAAAACTAGTCTCAAGGGGCTTATCGCAAAGTAATAAGGCGAAACCACTCAGCGGATATAGTAATGATTGTAATTGGGAAATTAGCCCAATTAAGGACGGAAATTGAGTGGAGTGAATTTGGGTGTTCTTCGTCTTCTTCTGTCGTAGTAATGAGAAAAGAGGAGGAGAAAGGGCGTAAATCGTCTTGTATAACCCAAATTGCATTCTTGAACCCGTCCAAAAAAGCGAGGATCTGAGTGAGCTGATGATCTCCATCCGTAGTTGTTAGCAGCTTTGGTCCTTACAATGGGGACGCAGATCATGTTCAACCCAGATTATTTTTTGCCATGTTAGTTTGAAGGAGGAACTCTTTAGGAAGGACGTTTGGTGCGGCAAATGCGAAAATTTTAGCGAGTTATGGGTGCCGAAAGTTCGCAAAAACGTGCAACTGACACAAGGCACAGATTTCACTGGAAAACTGAGCGTTTCGCGAATTTGCGGCGCCAAGAACGTGCTGAATTTTTCGCATCTGAGCAAGTTCCAAACTAAATGTTGTTTCTAAAGAGTTGGTCTTTCAAACCGAGATGATCAAAAAATAATCTGGGCTGAACATGGTTTGCGTCCCAATTGTTAGTTGTGTGGATCTGTTGTTAAGCAGGTTCTTCCTTGCCTCGTTATTTCTCCACTTCTTTCCGAGAGATGAGCTCCATTCGTGGAAAAACAGTTGAAAACGATATCTGTTAAAGTGGAGCAATATCCATCAAGCGCATTTTAGCATTATTAGAACAAACGTCTCACTGCTTTTGAAGGAACGGCATGGAAAAAAGTGTAATTATACTGGGTTCGCTTAGAAGAAATTGGACCCAGGAGAAAATGACGTGAAGATTGAATCGATCTTCTAAGAAACGAGCAAATTAATTACTATCATTACTTTTATAATTATCGCGATCAGTTCAAATTACGCATATTTACTTTCTCCTCCTGAAATGGAAAGATTTAAGCCCTTCTCTCGGATTATGAAGGTTCAAATGGCGTGAAATCGCTGTAGATGTTAAATCTTGAAGGCTATATGGGACTTACGTAGAATGGAGGTCTCCCAGCGTATGCTATCAGATTTTGAGCAAATTAGTGTCAATAGATTATAAATTTGATTATTATGAAATTGCTAATTGAATTTGAAATTGAAATTATTATTATGAATTTGCGAAGGACACGATATCCCAATAGTCACGTTTGGAAGAAATATTAGCATCCGAAGAGGAGAAAATGCACTGTAAATTTGAAAACTGCAAAACTTGTCAATTTTTCAGCGCGTTTTCTCCTCTTCGGATGCAAATATCTTCGCAAAACCTGTACATTAGCCTTTTGCAAATCTCATATTACTCAAATTTGTAATATATTCACACTAGTTTGCTCAAAATCTGCGAGCATACTTTGAGAGACCTCCATTGTTAATGCTAAATAAGGCTTATTACTTCACAGTGAAAGGATCCGTCTACAATATGCATACACGTATTGCTTAACTATCTCTTTAAAATTCCTTTGTACGGATAAAACTTCTATAACTCGGAGTTCTCTTGACAAAATGGAGAAAGCGATTTCCAGGACAAAGTAAATTAAGTGCATTTAAGTAAATAACAATGGGAAGAATCATTTTCCTTTGTGAAAGGCAGAGGAAATATGGTTCACTCACTTTCACCGTGCAAGTTGAGAGTTGAGCTGGGGAAAGTTGATTGCAAATCTACTCACTCTTCTGATGGGAAAAAGCACGTAGCAGGAGTGCATAGCTGGTTCGAATCTACATACGAACGTACGTTGGCAGTGGCCGCGGAAGCGTGGGGACAGGGGGACAATGTCCCCATCATCTGCCCATCTACTTCCATAAAGCGTTAGTGTTAAGTTCTGCCTGGGTCCCTGTGGCTCTCAATGCAAATTGCCCCGTAGAGGAGACAAAGAAGGACGCGGAGCAACGGTTGCATGCATGAATTTTCTGCATGAGTCTCACTTCGCCTGCACGTGACTTTCACGTACGCTTGCCATCAATCTCAAATTAAATGTCTTTGTATATTTGCAGTGTGCAAGTAAATTGAGTGAGTGAGCAGTATACATACATACATCACTCATCAATAGTGGTTATCATGATAAGTGATCTTGATAAACACTATTAATTAATTATTTTAGTTTGAGAAACTCCACCCACAGCGAGTGGCATATCAATTCGAATGTATTTTTTACGCTGAATCCAACGCCATTAATGGTTTTGACCTCCGAGGCCCCCGTGACCTTGCCGTGACCGTGGTGTCCAAATATGGCTTATTCGTTATGTCGCATATCAATTCGAATGTATTTTTGATGCTGAATCCGAATCCGTCAATAGCTTGGCGTTAATTGTAGAAGTTAACGGGGTTTATGGAACTTAACGGGAGCGTGAAGCGTGGGAATTTAAATAGTTAGCTATGCAGTTACTCCCACGCGACGGGAATTTAAGTAATTAACTATTCAACTACCCCCACAGGGGGAAATTAAATTGTACTGTGACCAGGTTAATTAAAATGCAGTATGATTTGGGCAAACCCTCACTCTGATGTATGTATGTAGTATGACAAAGTCTTCACTGCGAATTATTTAAAGTATAGTATGACGGATTTTTCGCTTTGGGCACACCCCCCACTCTAGAACCCGGCCTTGGCCGGGCTATACGCTAGTGTTATATAAACCCCTCCCTCCACTATCCTACAATGTTAATGTCCCCAGATGTCCGCGGTCACTGTGCGTAGGACCAAGTTACGTATGCATCCAGTAATCTAGTACTATTTAGTTATTTCTTCATCTAGATTCTTTCATGTCCTTGTCGGGCTCCTGTTTCTTTGTGCATACAAATTGTGCGTAGGTATTGTCCGCCTCGAGGTTGTCGGCCGTGTTGTTATTGCATTGCAAATTTCTACGTACAACGTAGCAAAATATAATCCGAGACGAGATGAGTAACTTGTTTGGTACATATTTAAGCGTATTGCAAATTGCAATTGTCGATATATATTTCTGTTCGATTTCTGCATGTATATTTTGTCGAAATACGTACAAATACATCGGATCTTTCTCCACTTTCGCAATCCGCATTGTCCAGAAGCATGAATTTATATGCCCACTTGTTCTTGTTTTTACCATCAAGAATTTCCATGTCTTTGCTTTCTCTTGTAAAAAATCGAGTAGTGAGTACACGAATGGAGGGCAGCTGGACGGTAGAAAGTTGACGATGCAATTTATTCCGTTCGAATGAATACTTGGTTGGTTCTTTATTTTATCAATTCTTTATTGTTCGTTCGTTCGTTGGGAATTCGAGGGTACTAAACGTGCAGATTTTCCCCTGGTTTTACATACATATGCTGATTTTCTCTTTGGGCTTTCGTTTCGTTTTTGCAAATTCCGTTTGATAGTGATTGGACTCGTGTAGCATTAGAGAAAAAGGGAAAGTGTAACTGTGCAGGTTTTTTGGCACTGATTACAGTACGTACGTTTCATTTTAAAAATTAACAGATGCAGAGTAGGTATCGCAATAAATGCATTTTTAATCAGGAAGAAAGTAGTAAAAATAAATAGCGTGAAATTGGACGGTTTTATTAACATCGTTTCGTATTGCTGTACTGCAGTAGCTGCGGAAGCCGTGGGGACATGTGGGGACATTAACATTGTAGGATAGGGGAGGGAAGGGTTTATATAACATGGGCAGATGATGGGGACATTGTCCCTCTGTCCCCACAATTCCGCGGTCACTGCTCAACTGAAGTAATAGTAGAAACATATAGGCCGACAGATAGTTCCACGAGACGCAGACTCTACAGAACTTCTTGATCCATTAAAAACACTTATGTATGTTAGGTTATGTATAAGTGCTTTTCCACTTGAATGTCAAGTCGTCTGACCTTTTATGACCCCTATAATTATGACCCTAAAGTGTCGAAAGCTATAACAAATTTTCAGTTTAGTAGTTATTATACTTGAGTCATGCCATAAGTTTGATCGTAAATAAGTCTTTTTGCAAATTGGCTGTAAATACGGGATTAGGAAAAAGAAAATTCTGGAGCAGACACAGACACAACAAATAAATATTGGTCTGCTTTTTGTGTATAGTATGACCAAACGGCGGATATGTATTTGTTTTCAACTTTTTTATTGATGACGACGGATGGTGAAACTTTGTGGATGTGTCCCTTAACTCGCATGGAGCACAAAAATTTAGAAATGTTTTCACATATTTCTAGATTTTCAAACATTTATAAATATTTCCATTATTATTTTAAAAAAATATGGAAATGTTTTAGATATTTTTTTAAAAATACGTATACATTTTGTAAATATTTCAACGATGTGAGACGATTTTTTTTCACAGAAATTCGATCAAAAAAATTCAGAGCATTAAAGATCTTTAGATATACAGATTTTTGCTAAAATTTTACATTTTAATGTTTACTTTCGCACATATTTCGTAAATATTTTGGCGTTTTTTCGCAAATACATATCCATCCCCTGATCATCACAAGTCCAATAGGAATTGGATTGATCCCACGTATGCATAACTAACGATCACCGCACAGCACATTTCACTAACGCCATTAAGCATGATATCCACTCGAACTGTTTACCTTATTGGTTTCCAGCCCTTGATAAACTTGATTGCGACTGAATTGATCCATGATGATACAGAGCATGAACATATTTATTCGACATTTCCTTTGATCGCTCACCGAATAATTGTCCATTGACAAAGTCAATATTTGTCCGTAAAGCACGACGCATTTGCCGATTTACCTGTGTTTACGATGCCATGAAGCGTCTAATATTTTCACTTAAATTAGTACGATATGAGTGAAGTTGGCTGTGTTTATTGTGCAGCAAAA